TCCTACTCCATTCAAACATGTACTAGGTATAAGCAAATTGATATTGGATTAGCATTGGTTGGATATGGGTAATTATGTGTGTGTGTGTTGCTGTCATTTGTTCTGTTCTGCATGTTTGAAAGAATAAATCAAATCAAATCAAATCAAATATTATGCTTGCTTAACCAAGAGAGACTAAAGTCCCTGTTGGAGCAAAGTCCTTCCTCTTTACAACCACTGAACCTGTGCCTTCTTGTTCTTCTTCTGTTGTTTTTAAATGGCAGCCAGCATTACGTTAAGCGTGTGTGTCTGTTGAGAAAAGCTCCTTCACTCTATTGCTTTAGTACCCATGATTTCACTCATTTAGTGCAGTTTTTCACCTCCACAACCAAAAGACCAAGAGCAGATAACACCTGTGCCATGTGCAACTTCTTATCAGGCATATTCTCGATTAGAAGCAGCTATTAGCTGATGTGAGGCGACACATACAGTAGGTCAGCCTTCGTCACAACTAGTTCTTTCACTTTGGCTTGGTGTGTGTCCACCCTAAGGATGGGAGTTTATGGGCAAAGCTGAAATGATTGCTGCTCTTCAAGTTTATGCTCATTTAGTGGGTGTTTGGATAAATTGCTCTGACTGGCTTTTTACTCACTAAGGTCTTATTGCATGTACAGTAGAGCATAGATGTTGTCACCAGGAGCAACATGTTTCACCTGCTCCTCCCCCCCCAACACTCCACCATGGTGTCTCAACTGTTTTCTGCCCCGTGTTGTCCAGGAGCTCAGCACCGCTCTCAACATGGACAGAGAGGAGTAGCTGCTCCATAAATACCACAGCCATGTTTTTACTCACTGGTCTCTTCAAATACTCAAAATGCTTCTGGTCCTTAGAAGCTGAGTACTAAGGAACTCAGTCAGAGTCAGTCACACTTGTGCGCCCAAACGATTGTTCACATTTGCACACTTTTACTTGCATTTGCGAGTAATCTGTTATATATCAGGCTTTGGCTACAGAGAAACTGCCTGTTTGTACTTGACAGTACAACTAAGGAAATGATTAGATGTTGGTGGTCAAAGGTCACTGTCACCTCACCTTTGTCCTAGTCTTGTGAACGAGCAGTGTCAGGAACGCTTTGAGGGAATTTCTTCAGATTTGGCACAAACATCCACCTGAACTCAAGGATGAACTGAATAGATTTTGGTAGTCACAGATCAAGGTCAGTGACCTCATGTCTCTTCTTCTTAATTACATCCCTGATGATTAAAGTCTCATTTTCTTTCCAGTATGCAGATGCCCATTAGAATGTGAGCTACAAGCAGTGCTGCAGCAAAGGATTATGGTCCTGGATGGTGGGATGGGAACCATGATTCAGCAACATAAGCTTAAAGAGGAAGATTTCAGGGGGGACGAGTTTAAAGAGCACCCGCTTCCACTGAAGGGCAACAACGACCTCCTGAGTATCACACAGCCTGATATCATTTACAAAATCCACAAGGTACTTCATCTAAACTAAAGGGCTTGTTCACCCAAACCACGTTATCTCACTTAGCCTTTGTGACATTAGATAAGCAGCCGATTTCTGTTTCAGTGTTTCTGCTAGGATTTTTTTTTTACAGTGGCAGGTGAGTGGGAAGTGGTGCTGATATACACGCACATATGCTGGGGGTCGAAGTGACTGTCAGCATCTTAAAAAAAGTCAACTGGAAAAGAAGCCTTAGAACATATTTACTGAGATCTAGTGCTAACAAATAGATATCAGTAAGCTCCCCAGGACAGTCTGGGCTATCCAGGTCTACCATAATTAGATATGATAGCCTATCACATGTGTACATTTTATGTCATTTCAGACCCTCATTAGGCTGCTTCACAAACGTTTGTTGCACAGACTTGTAGGTATACTTGCATCACTGGAAAGGGCTGGTCATGTTGTTTATTTTGAGAGATGATTCCCAATGAGGAAATGAGTAACCTTATTTCATGAGATATAGAACAAAGAGTAATGGATGTCCAATGGGTTGTTAGGCTTAAGCTGTAAGATCTAACTTAACGTTAAATAGTCTACTTTAATCTACCGTCCTCCCCAGCCGGGTGTGGATGCATGTCTCTGCTTTGTGTATCTGTCATTTTAGATTAAAAGCTATAATCCTGAAGCAGTGACGGGAATGACTGCTGAATGTAGATAGTGGAAACGCTGAGTTTAATGTACTATGATTTGGAGACGAGTGTCTCTGCGGTTTGTGCCACCAGCCCAGTGCAAATGCAATGGATGGAATTTTGCTTGTGTTGCTCTAATGTCAGGATTACTCAGGATAATCCACAGACATCACTTTGAAGTACTGTTCTTCTTAAAGCTGTCCCCAGTGAGGTATGCGAATCATCCAGAGTACAGGAACACTGTTACTTTTCATGGTCATTTATGGTCTGAGTATTAGTTGAACTTGAATTTGTGTGTGTAATCTGCTCTTCTCTTTAAATAAAGGAGTACCTGCAGGCCGGGGCAGACATCATAGAGACCAACACTTTCAGCAGCACGTCAATTGCTCAGGCAGACTATGGCCTGGAACACCTGGTACAGTATGATGGCAACTCTGTGGACAGCTCATGTAGTCACACAGCTACAGAATCGAAGGTCAAGTTCACAGACTGAGTGGTGTTAGTAACCACAGACAAACCACTTCAAATAAGAACTACTCCCAGTTCTGTGACTGGACTGTTTTCTCCACCTTAAACTAAACATTACTCCTGCATTCAGCAGACGTGGCTGGATCAGCTAGACCTCATAGCTTTATGTATGAACAGAAAATACACTTGTCCATTTTGTACCTTTTTATTATACCTTAGGGTATATTTTTACAATTTGGAGTATATTTATTTCTGAATTTAAAGTGTTATAAACAATTGAACTGCAGTGGTAGTTTCCTCATGATGATAGAAATAGTGATTAGAAAAAGTGTTTAATGCGGAAGTCAACATTTAAAGTGACATAGGGTCAGAGTGACTGCATATGCACCACACTTATATTACTGTGTTTTATGTTTTTAGAATAAAAAAATCAACACTTGAGGTTTTTAAACACTATAATATAGTGGTGAGCAATTATACATGTTATTTAATTAACTCGTCCTGTGGGCACCCGTAAATGGAGACTGGTATATTAACAGATAATGAGCACAAATCTAAAACTGTTGTAATAAAATACTTTCATGTGAAGAGTCACAATTGTATTATTCATTGATAATTATACACTGACAGTTAAAACACCCTCATGTCTGCTTGTAACCACACGATGTTATAATGTATTCCATGTTTTTATAATGATTGTGAATGTTAAATAGGGACACCTGAAGATTTTACCTCATTCTCACATTATTGGCTTTGTCTTCATGAGGTGTCTTCATTTTATTACTACCCCTCTACTATATATACCACGTTTTCATGTCATGCTGACCAGATAGGGTTATTTCCAGTTCAAGATAATATAAAAAATATTATGTTTAGGGACGTACTGATACTGTTTGAAGGCCACAGTTTGCTAACCACTGGGCAGTGGAACACAGCAGAACCTCTCACACTAAGGTGGCCTATTTGAAACCTATCAAAGCTTCAAACACCGCTTTAGATTTTTAGGTAAGATATTCACTGAGTAATCGACTACCATGAACCTGTGAACAGTTTCCTACAGACCTCCCTCTTTCATGTTATTAATTTAGGACAGGATCCCAAGTCCTCCCAAAATGAATAATCTGCAGTTATAGGCAGCTACCACCTTTCACCTTCAGATGCTACTTTACTGAGAAAGTTTAGGAGCCAATAAAATTTGACTAAGTGTTAAGATTAGTCTGAAATAACCGGTGGGTGGGGGGGGGGCTAACACATAGATGAACAACCACACACACGCACTCACATACACACACTCCTATGGGCAATTTAGAGACACCAATCAACCTAAGCTGCATGTCTTTGGACTGTGGGAGGAAGCCGGAGTAACCGGAGAGAACCCACGCAAGCACGGGGAGAACATGCAAACTCCACACAGAAAGGTCCCAGGTGGGGCCCGAACCCAGAACCTTCTTTGCACCCCATAACTCCAAATAGGCCAATTAGTTCAGAACAACAAAATCAGAGAGCCTTTTCGTAAAAATGAGAGGATAGTTTGTGAACGTGCACAACTCCTGTTGCCAGGGTTGCATTGAAATTGAATAAATGTGAATTAATATGAATTTGTCCTCTATAAACAACAACGGTGAGGATAGGAAGTGTATCAAAATAAAAGCCTGACAGGAAGTGATGTGGCCAATGACAGAAAATGAGTGATATTTTTGTGGACTTGGAGGCTGAGACCAGCAGCTCCTCTAGAGCAGTGTGTGTCCAGTGAGAGGACATGATGAAGCCACAGACAGTTGCCAGTTTAAAGTATGAACATGTACCCTCATTAAATGAAACATTTAAATTGCCAACTGCAATAATATCCGCTCCCAGATTTACTGTTCTGGATTGGGTTTGCAAAATAATTTTGTCACTCCTACAAAGACTAAACACCAGTGTATTACAGAATGTTATGTAGTAGGCTGCAGATCAGCAGTCATTTACATATTATATTCTATAGGAGTGGTGTTTATTTGATTTAATCACAATCATAAGGCAAGTCTCATGAAAATAAAAATAGTCTCTAAAGGTGTTTATGGTAATTGTCATTTTTGTAGTAGAAGCTGCATTATTATTAAGTAATTGTATTGGTACTCAGTATCATCAATATCAGTATCCGTACTCAAATGTAAGTACTTGTACTTGGTCTGAAAAAAAGTGGTTTTGTCATCCCTAATTGTTATATGTCACATTTTAATTTAACTTTTTAAAAATGTAAACTTGTGGTGTTGTTGTGTGGTGCAGGCTTATCGTCTCAACAGGGCTTCAGCAGAGCTGGCGAGGAGGGCAGCAGATGATGTCACAAAACAAACCGGTAATTTTCTGAGATTACAGCATCATACCACTATTTAGTCTATAAATGTACAATTGCTGACTCTCAGGGAATTCCTCCTCCTCAGATGTCATCTGTGTGTGTCATCAGGTTGTAAACGCTATGTGGCCGGGGCAGTGGGTCCCACTAACAAAACCCTGTCTGTATCACCTTCTGTGGAGAGTCCAGACTTCAGGAATATCAGTAAGATGACTTGCAGGTTATTTTATTTTAGTTTAGTTTATTTGATTTGTTTGGGGTTTTTGTCTTTGTACTTTTCAGGAGATCTGTAGGGCTTGGAAAACCTTAACAGCATTTGTTTCCTCAAAAATGGTCTAAGAATGTGTTAAAAAGTATACAATTTTATTTTCAAATAACTTAATAACTGAAATACCGTGTGTTTCCTGCCATAGGCAGTGCTCTTACACACACACCTGTATAAACTAAACGTGGGATTGTTGGATTGTGCTGCAGGAGCTTAAAATTAAAATGAACTTAAATGTGTTGCAACATCTCAGGGATTATTTACTGTTCTGAGGCTTTAGAAATGTTTTGTTTTAGAAAAACCCAAAACACCTGTTTCTATTTCTGATGCTCTATTTTCATACATTAGGGGACCAGGATCTAAAATTCATCTAATATTTTTTCAGTTTCACTTCATCAACATGTGGCTTAGTAATGTATTATACATTAAGCTTCTGACTATCTCCAGGATTTGACATGGTCACACAGACACACAGAGGTTTTTAAACAATATTTAGTCCAACCCATTCACGTACATGATAGAAGCAGATTAATAAAAACACCTCTAAATATAATGCAGTTTACTATAACACCAACCCCAGTCTACAGCTTCAGTGTTAAACATATATTTGAATTAACTCCTCTTTGACAGTGTCAACAAAAACTAAAAATTAGGATTATCTTAAAAGGCTTGTGTTTAAATTACACGTGTATACCTAATTACAATAAGTGAGTTCTAAGTGTAGTTACAAATCAAGTCAATCAAATGTTGTATTTTTATTTAGTAATGCTGTGTGACTGTTAGAGCTTGTTATGCAATTTTCATTTAACGAGGGATGTTACCAGAAACTGACTTGACTGTTAAAATGTGAAGTAACCCAGGGCAAGCACTCATGTTGAGGTCCAATTCAAAATACAATAGGCCTTTTTTCACAGAAGACATTTGACTTGGACTGTAGGAAAAACGTAGTTGTAAATAATAGATGACGGTTGAAGTCCATAAAAGTGCTTCACTTTCAGGGTCATGCTGGCTCACGGTAAGTCTCAGGCTGACATGGCTCTCTGGCATACTTAAAGAGTACAGAGTCATTACTGATGTTACCTAAAGCACCTGTGATTTTCCTGCTATGACGAGTCAAAATGTCTGCAGAATGAGTGTCATGGCAACAATTTGTAATTATATTCACTGAAATGTGTGTGTCTTCCCCAGCATTTGATGAGTTAGTTGAAGCCTACTCTGAGCAGGTTAAAGGTTTATTAGATGGAGGAGCAGACATCCTTCTGGTTGAAACCATCTTTGACACTGCCAATGCTAAGGTAACCCTGATATATTTTTAAGTTCTAATTTATTCCAAGCTCTTACTATACATTTGGAGGATCAAAACTGTACAGTAATGGCATTACGGGTATGTGGTATACCTTTATCAGTTTAATTTTTTTAATGAATTACATATATTGTATTTTGAGTGGGCATTCTATAAATCAGACTTGAAGTTGCTGATAGAAGATTATGTAACCTAATGTACAACACCAGTCAAGAGTTTGAGATCAGCTCCTTTTCCCCCATTGGCTATTAGTGTAATTCAGCAGCCAAACACACCAGTGACAGTCTTTCTACGACTTAAATCAAATATTGTTTGGATAGAGAGCACTGTTACATGTGGGTTGGTTTGCTCTCACTCCCCACCTAGAAAATGGACACTGTGCTGCCATTACATCATTTGAAGCCAACATCTTTATCTTTTCTTCTACACATCCTGGAGCTGGTTTTATTTTGTGTTATTATCCTGATGTAGGATCAAACTCTTAAAAGCCCTGACTTCCTTTGTTAATTGCCTTTCTTCAAAAAAATACTTCACAGTGTGTAGTAACACAGTCTTTTCCAACAGTGCCTTTGTACAGATAGAATTTGTTGTTTTATGTAGTCAACAAAGGTTGGGGCACCTTTAGGACTTGTTTACAGTATTTGCCCCATTCCTGATGTCCTATTTTTTTTGCAGATTTGTCACACTTAAATGTTTTCAGATCACCAAACAAATTTGCTGCCACATACTGATGCTGCAGAAGAGAAAAAGAATAATCTGCCCCTCAGTAAAACATGGTTGTAGATTAAGCTTTTGAAGGAGAAACAACCAAATAATGTCCTTATTTTGCTGTTTGGCTCACAGTCTCTTGTTATTGTGAGCGTCATAGTTCTGAATGGCATGTTCAAGATTAGGCTGCTACAAACAAGGAGAAGGGGAGGGGTAGGACTTCTCTCACATTTGGTGTATCTACACACACCAGAGAGCCATGTAAAGGTGTTAATCAAAAAGTAGAATTTTAATAATAGAAGACCTTTAAGGTTTATTCACTGATGGCCGTCCCTGAAAGGCTAGTGGTTAAGGCACAGCGCTCTCGCCGCTGCGGCCCGGGTTCAAATCAGGGTTGCGTCAGGAAGGGCATCTGGCGTAAAACACGTGCCAAATGTCAACATGTGAGTCGTCAGTGTGACGATTCGCTGTGGCAACCTCTAAAAAATAGGAAAAGCTGGAAGTGACTTTCTTTAAGGCTTATTCACTGGCCATAAATAGCTTAAATATCAAAATTAAAAACTGGAGAATTGGAGGTGATCTCAAACTTTTGTTTATATACAGTATACATATACAGGGATTGATGTCTACCTCTCTATGTTTCCTTCTACAGGCTGCCTTGTTTGCCATTGACCTGTTGTTTGAGAAGAGCTATGAAAGAAAACCTATATTTGTATGTTGATGATATTTTATTCATAATCTCTTTAGCATTTTACACAACACAATACCGTAAAGCTTGATTTACGGTTCTGAGTTGAATCTGTGTGGACCCTATGCAATAGGCTATGCAAGTGGCCTATGCCTTTGTGATCATCTATGCTTGTGCTGGTGTGTCTGTGTTGCCCTGCAATTACACGGACAAAACACTAGTGGTTCTGTGTCACCATGTTGCATTTCTTTACTACTTACTAACAATGGCGACTGAAACTGAGGTGATCATGCTGGAGTTGAAACTAACATGTTGAACAGCACTTACTTTTACTGAAATGACTTAGGGTGTTTTCACACGTAGTTCGTTTTAAATGAGCCAAACTTGGTCCTCTTTAAAGTGGACCAAAAAGGGACCCATTTCTCTTTCTGGTCCACTTCAGCTCTGATGGGGCCTTAGTCTTCTTTCTATTCATACTATAGTGACTCTGGAGCTCTCAGACCTTTACTGCTTCCACATATGGCTGTTATGTCACTACTACTTTAGCTCTTTTTATTGTGTGTGGTAAAGTACTTTTGACACTTTGTACTGCAGTGGGGTCCTAATGAAGCCCCTCACTCTCATATGAGCTGGAAACCGAAGGAAAACTTTAGCATGCCTGTGCATTGTAGACAGTTGTAGTTTGATGTGTTCTTTGCTTCATATCTGGAAGGGCAGTAGTTTCTTCCTTGCACCAAACTACTCATCAATATGATTATCATTAAGATTTTTAACAGTACTGCTACCGATGCTGCTTATTAATGTGGTATTTTACTCATATTGGTTCTTTTTGTTATTTTTTGAAGTAAAGAAAATTAAGAAGGGCATCAACATTGCTTTATTTCTTATTTTCTCATATTTACTGTTAACATTCTTGAATAGCAAATTTCAACAGCATTGTTTAGAACAGGGGCGACCAATTCCAGTCCTCGAGTGCCGCTGTCCTGCTTGTTTTCCAACTATCCCTGCCTGACCTGCTGCTGATTACCTGGCTCAGGTGTGTTCAGCCAGTCAGAAGCTGGCTGATGCTCCTGTTGTAGAAGCCATCCTCTTTTCAGCTTCAGCTTTTTTACAGATGGTGTGATGTTTGCTTCCAGAATTTGCTGGTATTTAGTGGAATCCATTCTTCCCTCCACCCGTGCAATGTTTCCTGTGCCACTGGCTGCAACACAACCCCAGAGCATGATAGATCCACCCCCATGCTTAATAGTTGGCAAGGTGTTCTTTTCATGAAATGCTGCTCCTTTTTTTCTCCAAACATGCCTTTGCTGATTGTGTCCAAAGAGTTCTATTTTAACTTCATCAGTCCACAGCACTTGTTTCCAAAACGCATCGGGCTTCTGTAGATGTCCTGTTGCATACTTCAGACGTTGGATTTTATGATGGGGACGCAGATAAGGTTTTCTTCTGCTGACTCTTCCATGAAGGCCTTGTCTGTGCAAGCATCGCTGCACAGTGGAACGGTGCACCACCACTCCTGAGTCTGCTAAATCTTCCTGCAGGTTTTTTGCAGTCAAATGGGGGTTTTGATTTGTCTTTCTGACCAGCATACGAGCAGTTCTGTCCGAGAGTTTTCTTGGTCTTCCAGATCTCATCTTGACCTCCACAGTTCCCCTGATCTGCCATCTCTTAATTACATTTCTTACTGTGGAAACTGCAAGCTGACAACGCTTTGCTATCTTCTTGTAGCCTTCTCCTGCATTGTGGGCATCAATAACTTTCATTTTCAGGGTCTTACACAGCTGCTTAGAGGAACCCATGGTTGCTGGGTGTCCACAAGTGTGTGCACAAGGTTTGAAGAGTCAAAGTATTTGTACAGCTTTGAAATTGGCATTTACCAATGACAGCTGTTGCTGTGCATCAGATCTAACGAGCTGATTAAGGTCTGATACCTTGTGAGAGACTTTGAGACTCTGGAACTCTTAGGGTGCCCAAACTTTTGCACCATGCCATAATAATGTTTTTATTTTTTATTTTTGTTCAATTTATGGCATAAGAAGTAACTATGCATCACTGTTTGCAGCAAATATTGTGCATTTTTTCCATTTCCAAGAGAAACTGTGTTAACATCTGTTCAAATAAAAAATCACCAAAATCTGTTATTTATCAAGGGGTGCCTAAACTTTTGCATAAGACTGTAGATGAAAGTGGAGTGAGGAAAGATAAAGTGAATTGGTATCTTCCACACAGATAAGAGATTATGTTGGAGGAGGTGGTCTGCACCACCTTTGAACCAACTGAGGCAGAGTGAGGGGGGATTTTCTGTGCTTTCTAGCCACTGAGAGACATGACTGAGGAAATGCAATGTAACCAGTCACAGCTGTTGTTGTCTGCATTGCCATGGCATGCAGTTACATTTCTGGAGAGGTGCACATCAGGCTATGGCTTAGGCAACAGCATAAGGTACAAGGCTACGCGTTACCTACACTGTGGATATGGCGCAGATTCAACGCAAAACCATAAATCAAGCTTAATGGGTTTCTGCAGGTTCTTAAGTCTAAAATCAAATAATTTGAACTTTAGGCCTTCTAAAGTCTTCACACGTCTTAAATACAATTTCCATCATAAAGGTTATTGACCATGCTTAGGGTGATTATTAAAGTTATTGTTTCTTCTATAATGTCACATTAACTTCAGTCATACTTTTATGTGTTTTGGGGGGACATGTTCATCAGACAGAGTACTTTTGTGTATAGTACATTGGTTCCATGTTGTAGTTGTTTGTCACATCAGTTCATGTTAGGCACACTGTTATTCAGCTACAAAACAAAACCAGTTTGGAACCCATAACTTGTGCAGACTTTTCAGTCTGATCACTTTTTTCAGAAAACACTCAGCTAGCCTGTTACGGTGCGTGAAATTGTGGATGTATTCAGAAGTGAATACCAGATCGTAATATGGTCCACAGTTCAGTCCTATGACAGACAGTGGTGAATACATTTTTGGCAATTGTTTTGCTCAGAAACCTCACGTATCAAATACGATGCAAATGGTTTTATAGGGTTAGGAACTTTGGGTATAAATGAATCATATGGGATGGCAGAAACGTGGGATCCACTCCTACAACAGTAGTAAGCAACCTCCAAACAGCATTTGCATCCACACCAACATTAAAAACAACAAAAGTCCATCAGTTATGTCATTATCATTATCATCATTATGTGGAAAGTAATTTATTCATACTCAAAATAAGTACTCAGCTGATTTTTCATATCATGCATATTTTTTGCCAGTATGGTTGTAAATTAGGTCTTACATTTGACTCAAAGTGATCTACAGAAGGTCTGAAATTCAACTTGATGAGACCTGCAGAAACCCATGGGGTGAGTGGTTTCAGTCAGTCTTGGTTTACACAGGAGCATACTCTATTAACATAAACATTAAAAAAACAATGGTCATTCACACACCTCTTAGCTATCTTGCTGTTAAAGGAAGGATGAATGTGCTGGCTAGAGTTTAGTTGAGAATATATGTCAATGCATATGTTGCCTTCTGTCCCACTCATAATCTAGATCTCAGGAACCATTGTTGACAGGAGTGGACGAACTCTGTCTGGGCAGACAGGAGAGGCCTTTGTAGTGAGTGTATCCCACGCTAAACCGCTATGGTGAGTTACTGTACCTCACACCTAACTACCCGTATCATGTCATAATACTAGGGTCTTAACTGAATTCCAGTCTTTTTAACTGGGTTTGTCCATTTCTGTGTTTCAGTGCTGGTCTGAACTTCAGTGTCTTACTGGTTTTGTCCCTCTCTGCCTATGTTGCCATGTTGGTCTGAAGTTCAGCTTATTACTGGGTTTGCTGCCCTCTCTGCATGACAGTGTTGTTCTGAAGTCCAGTCTCTTGCTAGTTTTGTCCCTCTCTGTGTTCCAGTGTTAGTCTCAAGTCCAATTTCTTATTGGGTTTGTCCGTCTCTCCGCTGCAGTGTTGTGTCTGATACTCCAGTCTTTTTCTGGCTCTGTTCCTCTCTGTGTTGCATTGATGGTCTGAGGTCCAGTCTCTGACTGGTTCTGTCTCTCTCTCAGCATTGCAGTGTTACTCAGAACTCCAGTCTTTTACTTTTAATGTTATTTACTCTTTAACACTACATAAAGTTTAACACTACTACAAGATTTTTACAAACTGTTGGTTCTGTTGCCTCATCTCAGAGGGATGTGCATCAATTAAGGTAGTGGTGCTACACATGAAATAATGTTACCCATGTCTGAAAGATTTTCTCTAGTTTTACTGGGTAAGTAGTGTAATATTTGACCACATGTATTAGTTGTAAGAAAAGATTATAAAGCATTAGATGTAGTGTTGAAAAAGTGTTATTTTCTCCCATGTAGCATACATTCTCTTATTATATTCTTGTGTTATTGGAAATATTGCATATGCTAATTCAGCAGTCCAGAAGTATTATTTTCTGTATACACCTGATATTTTTTGGGGTGGCTGTGGCTCATGAGGTAGGGCAAGTCGTCTTCTGACCAGCAAGTTGGTGGTTCGACTCCCGGTCTCCCCACATGCCTAAGTCTCCCTGAGCAAGACACTGAACCCCAAATTGCTCCCGGTGGCTTGACTAGCGCCGTTGTGTGGCAGCCTTGTCGTCATGTGTGTTAATTGGGTGAATCGTGTATAATCTCCCTGTAAAGCGCTTTGGCCAGTGCATAAAAGCGCTATATAAATACAGTCCATTTACCATTTTTTGTTTTTAGCTGATAAACATGGCATTTAATGTGCAGTGTATGTAAATGCAGAAGTTATTGTGAAATGAGAGAATTTGTGTAATAATATTTATTATAATTGAAAAAATAAAAACTAAGATAGGCAGCCATAATAGGCCGCATTTATTTTTAGTTTTCACAGTGCTAGAAGTGATGCTGGTCATTCTGTCATCGTGATCCATGAAGAATTATTGCACTTGTTAGAGTAATTAAGAGAAATTAGACCTTGTTTCCTCAGTTTTCTCTTAAGCAACCTCAACAGACTGACACCTGGATCAGATGTTAAGAGCATAGTATGAAATGGAGCCTGCAAAGGTTAATGCCATATCCAAACCATAATAAAAGTGCACAGTTACCGTTACAGCAGTGTGAAATATTTGTGCATATTCCCCTTAAACATTTTACAAGCATCTGCACTTTAATTTAAACCTGTATGTTGTAATTATATTGTGAACAGATCCTCCAAGCTATAGTTTGTAACATTACTGTTACTGCACATACATAGCCTACAACATGCCATTTGTTTTATTGCTCTCAGTGTTGAGTATTGGTCTGAACTCAAGTCTCTTACTAGTTTTGTCCCTTTATATGTTGCAGTATTGGTTTGAACTGTGCTTTGGGTGCAACCGAGATGAGGCCATTCATTGAGACCATAGGAAAAAGCACCACAGCTTTCATTATCTGTTATCCCAACGCAGGTAATCCACACTTCGTCTAAACAACTACATACACTTTCCCAGTGAATTAAATTCTACTTTTGGCAGTAATTTTTTGAAATTTATTAAATACTGTAATACTATAGTGCTTCTGTGCTTACTGTTGTTGTGCAGTTCATTTGACCTGTTGCTTCTGCGCTCTCTGGCTCTCCCACAGCAGCACGTTGGCTGCTGTCCTCCTCCTCTCCTACATCTCTGCCTTCAGCTCGCTGACCCTACCTACAGTATTGTTCAAAATAATAGCAGTACAATGTGACTAACCAGAATAATCCAGGTTTTTAGTATATTTTTTATTGCTACATGGCAAACAAGTTACCAGTAGGTGCAGTAGATTCTCAGAAAGCAAACAAGACCCAGCATTCATGATATGCACGCTCTTAAGGCTGTGCAATTGGGCAATTAGTTGAAAGGGGTGTGTTAAAAAAATAGCAGTGTGGCATTCAATCAGTGAGGTCATCAATTTTGTGAAATAACAGGTGTGAATCAGGTGGCCCCTATTTAAGGATGAAGCCAGCACTTGTTGAACATGCATTTGAAAGCCTGAGGAAAATGGGTCGTTCAAGACATTGTTCAGAAGAACAGCGTACTTTGATTAAAAAGTTGATTGGAGAGGGGAAAACCTATAAAGAGGTGCAAAAAATTATAGGCTGTTCAGCTAAAATGATCTCCAATGCCTTAAAATGGAGAGCAAAACCAGAGAGACGTGGAAGAAAACGGAAGACAACCATCAAAATGGATCGAAGAATAACCAGAATGGCAAAGGCCCAGCCAATGATCAGCTCCAGGATGATCAAAGACAGTCTGGAGTTACCTGTAAGTACTGTGACAGTTAGAAGACGTCTGTGTGAAGCTAATCTATTTTCAAGAATCCCCCGCAAAGTCCCTCTGTTAAAAAAAAGGCACGTGCAGAAGAGGTTACAATTTGCCAAAGAACACATCAACTGGCCTAAAGAGAAATGGAGGAACATTTTGTGGACTGATGAGAGTAAAATTGTTCTTTTTGGGTCCAAGGGCCACAGACAGTTTGTGAGACGACCCCCAAACTCTGAATTCAAGCCACAGTACACAGTGAAGACAGTGAAGCATGGTGGTGCAAGCATCATGATATGGGCATGTTTCTCCTACTATGGTGTTGGGCCTATTTATCGCATACCAGGGATCATGGATCAGTTTGCATATGTCAAAATACTTGAAGAGGTCATGTTGCCTTATGCTGAAGAGGACATGCCCTTGAAATGGTTGTTTCAACAAGACAATGACCCCAAACACACTAGTAAACGAGCAAAGTCTTGGTTCCAAACCAACAAAATTAATGTTATGGAGTGGCCAGCCCAATCCCCGGACCTTAATCCAATCGAGAACTTGTGGGGTGATATCAAAAATGCTGTTTCTGAAGCAAAACCAAGAAATGTAAATGAATTGTGGAATGTTGTTAAAGAATCATGGAGTGGAATAACAGCTGAAAGGTGCCACAAGTTGGTTGACTCCATGCCACACAGATGTGAAGCAGTTATAACAAACTGTGGTCATACAACTAAATATTAGTTTAGTGATTCACAGGATTGCTAAATCCTAGAAACAAAAACGTTTGTACAACATAGTTTTGTGTTTGTACAGTCAACGGCAGACACTGCTATTTTTTTGAACACACCCCTTTCAACTAATTGCCCAATTTCACAGCCTTAAGAGCGTGCATATCATGAATGCTGGGTCTTGTTTGCTTTCTGAGAATCTACTGCACCTACTGGTAACTTGTTTGCCATGTAGCAATAAAAAATATACTAAAAACCTGGATTATTCTGGTTAGTCACATTGTACTGCTATTATTTTGAACAATACTGTACTTGACCCTCTCTTCCTGCTTCAGCAGCATTCCCATTGGTTATCTAAAAGTTTCTACATTAACTCTTATCCAGACAGTGTGCGCCTCCTCAAGACAAGTCCTTTGAGTCTAGGAAAATATTTTTTAATATTCCTCTGGACTGAGGGAGGAAACATTCATCATCAAGAGTTTAATAATTATCATCAACATTGTCCATTTGGAGAGCAGTCAGTATTGATGAGCAGCTACTGTATGCACTGCGCTCTGTATGCTCTGTCCTTGGCAACTTCTGTAAGTTACTCTAACATTAGCTTAGTTATCCTTAATAGTTTGCTAATAACTTTGAGAGTTGGATCTCTGCGATTGTGCTCAGAACAAAGACACGGAGAGGAGGAGCTGTTCACAGATGCCCCGTTGTCAATGTGTGTGCCTGAGAGAGAGAGAAGGGCAAGGAGCGGCTGAGCAAAGCAAGTGCACTGTGAGCAGTGATGAAATAAGATTTTACCCATTTTAAATAGTAAAGAAATTGAAAATCAAGAGCAAGGGAAAGTTGTCTTCTACTTAATTGATCATGGATGCTGAGGACAACCAAATCTGTTTGATACTTTCATCACAAACACAGGTTTGCAAATTTTTTATGCTGACGACTGCCTAAAGTCACTTGAGTCCATTGAAGAAGTCTCTCTTCCATAAGTTGAAAGCCACGCTGTGTGGGGGGCTTCAGGCTGACTAAGTGGATCAGCAACAGTTGAATGGTGTTAGCAGCCATTCCAGAAGAGGAGAAGGCAATGGAAATAATTGACTTTAATAATGGACTGCTGATTTTTATCAGAACTCACTTCCCATGGAAAGAGTATTAGGCGTGCAGTGGTGTTTCCAGTCAGATCAGTTTCAGAGTCATATTTCAAAGCAGAAGGAAGACTCACAGTATAATTCGAGTGGAATTTGTGCACCGTGAGTTTACCTTCAAGGGAAATTTTGCAAGAGCTTTGTAATATGTCACTTGGGTGAGAAGAGACTGTACAAGAACATCTCACTCAACAGTGGTGCATACCAGATTTCTTTTAAACCAAATTGATCATTGAATAGAAGCAAGATAAAGAAAAACAAAATAAAATGATCAGAAATACATGACTGTATTAATTCATAGTAATTCAGAAGTCTCACTTTATAATATTTCAACTTGCACAGTCCAGGCTTTTTAGATCAAAGATCAAGATCAAAGGTTTTTATTGTCAATTCACTATATGTGCAGGACATACAGAAAAATCTAAATAGTGTTTCTCTGTCACCTAATGTTGAATGCCCATACCATTTAAGAAACTAAAATAGAATAGAAGTAGAATAAACACAGAATAAACAGAACATGAAAACTGAATTCAAGTCATAAGGATAAACTAGATGGTACAGTCTAATAGGCTATGAAGAAACTCAAAGCCATGTGCAAATAATAACAAGAAGATTGTCAGGTGGTCAGCATCACCAGGGGCGTTGGTGATGGGATGCATAATAGCTTATGAATTGTACATGGACAGCAGTGCAAATGACCAACAGCAGCAGATGTAAAAAGAACAGTCAGCAGCAGATTTACATGTAATATAACAAAAAGGGGGAATATATAGAGATTGTGCAAACAGCAGGGGTAGTCGGGGGGGCCTAGTGGATGAAGCTGTTTGTAAGTCTGGTGGAGTGGGCCTGAAGACTCCGATACCTTCTCCCTGAAGGCAGGAGTCTGAAGTGGGAGTGCGGGGGGTGGGAAGTGTCATCAGCAATGCTGATGACTGTCCGGGTGAGGCGGGTGTTGAAGATGTCCGTAAGGGAAGGCAGAGGGGTGCAGAAGTTACATTCAGTATAAAAACACACACGATTCACTTTAAATTAACTAGTTGCGTCATACTTCGAATCATGCAGGATTATGTAATGATGTCATGATCTCTGTGCATTCATTTTCTTTTAGGTCTTCCCAACACATTCGGAGGGTATGATGAAACTCCAGAAGTAACAGCCTCCAATTTAAAGGTTCTTTTCTGTTCTCCTATTTATTTGCCCAGCACTGAATTATCATGATGAATTTATTGAGAAACTGAACCTTGGGCTCCTTCAAAATGTATTTAACTTAAGTGCTCTGCTTCTGTATTTTGCCTTATAACTTCCTGTTTGTTCATTCATGACAGCATGTATTATCTTGGTTGGTGTGTGCAGCTTGTGATCATCTTCTGTCTGCATTTAGCAAATATTGCACCAGTTGTACAATCAAAAGATATAGAAAGATATATAGTGTTAAAAAGATCTGAGACTTTTTGCCTCAGTAGTCTTACAAACACTGACCACTCATGGTTCCTGTTTCCCTCTACTCTTTTTTCCCCTTCCTTCTGAGAGTGAGATGAGAAGATGTTATTAAGTTCTTATCTGTGTAGTAAGTGCAGAGTTGGAGTCACAATATGTTTAGCCTAGCTTAGCATAAAATAAGAAAGCAGAGGAAACAGCCTTCTTGGCTTTGTCCAAAGTTCAAAATATATCTACATTATGGTTAAATTCTAAATGAAATTGATCAGTATATATACTGATGCAACTTAAGCTAACCCTGGATGGCTCTTTGCTGCAGCTAAGTTTTTGTCTTAACTTCTGTCTGCAGGCATTTGCTATGGATGGACTAGTGAATATTGTGGGAGGCTGTTGTGGGACCACTCCAGGCCACATCAGGTCACTGTCATGTTTCTTACAAAAAAATATTTATTTTAAGTTTCATCTGGTTTTGAAAGTTTAAAAACACCTTTCCCTTCTCTTCTTTTTCATACAGAGCCATATGTGAAGCAGTTAAACACTGCCAGCCAAGAGCTCCTGCTAATGATATCTATCAAGACTACTTAATGATTTCAGGTATTAAAACCTCCTCTTACCATTTGTTGTAGAACTTGACATAAAGAAGTCCTGGTTGATGCCTTTATTTGTTGTTGCATAATACACCCCGGCTGTTATTTGTTGCTCATACATTTTTGAATACTTACTTTTAGTGGAGGATTTACAATCTTTCAGATCAGGTGAATCTTCAACATGTTTCAAATATGTAAACAAATGACAGTCTACATCCAGGCATGAAAGTTTATTCAAGTTTTAATATTTAAAATGAAAGACTGATGCCACTGGAATGCTCCTTCTCTCTGCCAGTCCCTTTCTAACCAAAACACAGGACATCAATGACATGACTGAAAATTGATTTCTAGGTTTAGAGCCATTTAGGATTGGCCCTTACACCAACTTTGTAAACATTGGAGAGAGATGTAATGTGGCTGGGTCACGCAAATTTGCCAAGCTGATCATGGCAGGTGACTATGAGGTAAGACAGAATTTCAGAAAATATTTTATTTATTTCAGAGATTGCAGTTAAATCATAAACACAGTGCTGCATTATTTATCTCTTTGTTGTCCAGGAGGCACTAAGCATTGCTAAGACCCAGGTGGACATGGGAGCCCAGGTCCTTGATATAAACATGGATGAAGGGATGCTGGATGGGTCAGCAGCCATGGCCCGATTTTGTAACTTCATTGCCTCTGAGCCAGATATTGCACGGGTAGGATTTGTAGACAGTGCAAATTAACACACCTATTTTTTATTAAGTTGAATTATGCTTCCTATACTATCATCTTAGCACTGTGCAGGGAGTGGGCATGTCTTTGCGCATACAATTTCATGCCCGGTTTTGACATCACAATAGGCACAGTTTCAACCCTGCTCGCTCTCGAGGCCAGAGATTCAAAATTTTATATAGTTAAAAATGCTGCAAAGGTTCATTTTAGTAATTTTTCAGCAGAGGAATACCTCCGCCATCACCCTGAAGTCATCTCAAAGCTCTCTTTTCCTCTGTCAAACCAGCTCTTTGAGGTTGTGGCTGTCAGATGAACATGAACATATGAGCATTTTAAAAAGACAGTGACACATATGATGAGGTAATGAATTAATGCCAGAGTTTATATACGGTAATAAGTTATATAAACTGAGTAAGATTTAATTTCACTTCGTACAATTTCAACAATAATTTATTCACTGTCCTGTAAGCACTTCTCCATTTTCAATAATATCCAGCCAAAATAATCATGTACGTCTGTAATTTATTATTGACCTATTATTTATAGTCCACTCAGCAGCTGACTGTGGTGCTTCTGTCAACTGCTTGGTTATGAAATAGCACAGAGCAGCGGCTCATGCCATACGATGCCCCAGTACCTCGCAGTTATTGAATGCATAATAGCATAGCTGAAATGCCAAGATGTGTCAGGTCAGGTGGCAGCCTCTGAACTGACTGTCTCACCTTTCCATGATTTTCACCTTTAATATTATTATTCTCTAGCCTAACATCCACACTTAAATCAGAGGCTACATAAAATCATAGTTGTAAGCATGGACAAAAGTAGGACCTTGAAACTAAATCACTTAAAGAAGGCCATGGGATATGGGCAATAGCTTAAAACATCTAGTAAGTGAACCTTGTGTTTAGAATATTTTGGCAGTTATATTGTTAATATGTATGAATCCACTCAAATCAAATCAGAGAGACTGAGCTTCTCCTTCTTCTGCACAGGTTCCTCTGTGTATTGACTCCTCTAATTTCTCAGTGATTGAGGCTGGGTTGAAATGCTGCCAGGGGAAGTGTATAGTCAACAGTGTCAGTCTGAAGGAAGGCGAGGAGGAGTTCCTGCTCAGAGCTGCCACAGTGAAGCGTTATGGAGCTGCTGTGGTGGTCATGGCCTTTGATGAGGAGGGACAGGTAAGGAGATGAGTACACACACTCTTACACAAACACCCCATGTATTCGTTGAGTGATTCTCTCCTCTCTAGGCCACAGATACCAACCGCAAAGTAGAGATCTGCAGTCGAGCCTACAACCTCCTTGTCAGCAAAGTGGGATTTGACCCCAATGACATCATCTTTGACCCCAACATCCTCACAATCGGTACAGGCATGGAGGAGCACAATGACTATGCTATCAACTTCATCAAGGCAACCAAGCTTATCAAGGTAATAAAACTGTCACTCCTGACAAGAATTAAGATGAACCAAATTGAGCCAATTCCTGTCACATGAATGAAAGTTTGTAATTTTATCCATCCCATCCTTTATGGTATCTTAACACAAAATGCAGACACATTCCTTTTATGCAACAACTTAAAACCAACATTTATGCAAACATTAATGTCTAAAGACCCTTTGTTACCTTAGACAAGGAGGTTTTGTTTTTGGTTCTGTGTGTTGGTTAGGAGGATTACAGATAAATGGCTGAATCATCAGCATACTCGGTACAGACACTGATGGGGACCAGCACTAGAAGTGATAAGATTTTGGTTGAAAAAGGTTAAAAAAACAACATCTTGTTAGGACCAGTAGGTCCAAAGGTTAAATAATAAGGAGTTGGACTCAGAAAGCAGACATGAGTCTAGTCTACAGGGCATTTACTAAGACAGTTACACCAGTAAGAGGTAACTGTGGTGACTGGCAGAGGCAGATAGGATGGACTGATGCTGAGGACGATGGAGCCGAGAGATGGAACACAGGGAACTGAGTTGAAGACCTGGAGAGGCGAGTATGCTGCGGGAGGGTCGGAGACCCAGGAGGAAGTCCAAGCTGATGGTCAGAGCTGAGGTGGACCAGAGTCTCTGGGCTACCATGTTGGAATGAGCCAGGCAGGCTGAGCTGAGGTGGAGGTAGCAGGGTCAGTGCCCTGTGAATGCCCTCAGCCCTCTGAGAAATAAGCAGGGGAGAGGAGCTGGCAGGTGAAGGAGGACAGGGAGAACCATTCAGGCTTGGTGGATGGTCAGCGGTCACATTTGTAGGGTAGCAGTGTCTATCACCAGACTAAATTTCATTTGGATTTGATCCGGATTCCTGATCTGACTGCCATTTGAAGTTAACATTGAAACCCCTATTTAATGCCTATTTTCTGCCGTAACAGAACAGACAGAACCCTGAAAATATTCAGCTAAGATGCACAGTATAACTGCTATCATACCATAAAAGATGATCAGGATCCAGTCCGAATCAAGGATTTTAGGACACATTTTGTGTTGTTCTGGATCAAATATTTCAGAAGGGACCCATTTGTGTGAGTGAATGTTGTGCCTTGGTGGGGGTACATGCGCTGTCTGAGGGCTCTTGTTTCCTACAGTTAGACTTTTATAACTCTCATGCTACTCAGCAGTCTCATTTCTAATACCTGTAATAACTATATAATTTATGGAGTTGTTTTTTTTTTATTTCTAGCTGAATTCAGTGCAAGAAAAGACAAGCTTGTTCAAATTCCTGTCTTACCAATGTTTCCATACTGTTGCCTACCAACTATTTTATTTCAGTACTATTGTTGTTAGGACATCTTGCCCAGTTCACACAGCCTAAAAAGGCTGTTTGAGTGTTAAGTCTTAGGGTTTAGGGTATTAAGTTTTGTTTAGGGCTTGGGTACGGATTGGGGGTAAGTACTGTATGTACATAGTGTACAGTTGCAATCAGAAATATTCAACTCCCAGTCACACGGGGGGTTTTCTTAGCTGTCCTGACTAAGTTGCTAAGGGCCCTTGATGAAATTTTGGGCTGTCTTCCATGGTCAGGCAGGTTTGCAGCTGTTCCACAAGTTTTAAACTTCCTTATAATACTCCCAGTTGTGAAACTTGGAATGTTAAATCTTTCGGAAATCTTCTTATACCCTTCAGGTGTGATGAAATAATCTCCTCTCTCAGCTTTTGTGGAAGCTCCTTTGTCTTTCCCATCATTGCAACTTACCTTGAATACCGTTGGTTGGGGTTTATACTGTATATGCAACACAGCTGGAGCAAATGAAGGATCATTATAGAGTTAACAAAGGCTTAATTATGATTCAACTCTACTTTAGGCCATAAAAACTGTCAGAATGCTTTAAACACAACAATATTATTATAGGGGTTGAATAATTGTGACATGGCTATCTTAACTAAATATACTGTTAAACACAAATAGTATATTGTGCATTTGTATTAATTTTATGTATCACTCAACTCGTAAAGAAGTCATCCAAAGCAAAATCTTACTCTTTGAAAAAGTCTTTAATTGATAAATCCTTACAATCTTTGGGGGTTGAATATTTCTGATTGCAACTGTAGTTGTGTTAAAGTTAGGATAAGGGACTAGGGAATTCTTTATGTCAGTGAGCATCCTCACGGTGATAGAAAGACAAATGTGTGTGTGACATTGTGAGGACATTTTGGTTATAGAAAGACAAATGCATATGTGTGTTTGTAGGAGACGTTACCGAGAGCCAGAGTGAGTGGAGGTCTATCCAACCTATCCTTCTCCTTCAGAGGAATGGAGGCCATCAGGGAAGCTATGCATGGTGCATTTCTCTACCATGCTATCAAGGTAAACACTGATGTCCACATGTTTCAGTGTCAGCACAGTTAACATTGTACTCAGCAAAGAAACAGCTGAGATCTGGGAGCATGGTGACAAAGTTTAATACGTGAAGCAATGTGTGGTCAGACGAAGGTGAAAACTATTTACAGATTAGCTTAACCACCTATTTTCAGGTCAAACTGAAAGTGAGTGCTCCTGAAATGAACAGAAAAACATTGTGCATTAGGTCAGAACTGAGGCAGGAAGTCTGGTCTGTAAACTGTGATGGAACAAATGTTTAATGAACTTCATGAGTGCAATATTAACGGTAATTGGAGAAATGAATAAAGCTGTTATTCTTTAAGATTGTAGTAGGGTAGAAAACCTGTCTGTGGATAATAACAGTCTCTCACTGTTCTCTGCCCTGTCCCAGGATGGCATGGATATGGGGATAGTGAATGCTGGCAACCTCCCGGTATATGATGACATTGATAAAGAGCTGCTGCTACTGTGTGAAAACCTCATCTGGAACAGAGATGCAGATGCTACTGAGAAACTACTGGCCTATGCACAGGTAAACACATATACAGTGTCAAATATAACCACTACATCCAGCTGATGTTGCTTTATTTTGGTTAACAGATAGTGACTTTACTGTTCTTGTTTTTTTTTTTCTTTTTAAAAATAATTTGAAACACTGATTTTAGAGGTTTTAACATTACTATATACAGTTGAACATAATAGCCATAACAAAAACAGCACAGTTCTCAGCAAGAGTTCAAAAGTCCAAAGCATAAGCCACTGTTGGGAGCATTCCCAGATCCATGTGTACACAGTGTGAGCTATGACAGCCCCCAGGTCATAGAGGCAATGTCAGGTCCCAGGCGGGATAGAAAGGACTCCCATGTCTTTGTGAAGACATTGTCCTTTGATTGTATTGTGTGTAAGGTTGTCCAGGGCCACATGTTCAATTACAATCCTGTGCCAGGTGGTTATCTTCATTTTTAGTAGTGCTATGCTTCCTAGCCACAAAATGGGGAGATTAGTCCATCTTTCCAGATCTAGTCTGATATGTTTAAAGATGTGAATGAAATTAAGTTATTACTCTTTTTAACAGAACCAAGTAAAAGGAGGCAAGAAGGTGGTTCAAACAGACGAGTGGAGAAAAGGAAATGTGGAAGAGAGGTTGGAGTATGCTCTAATCAAGGTAAGATATTTGATAGTTAAAGATCAATTGGAAGTGGTGAACAGGGCCTTAATCTGGGTGCCAGAGACACTCAGGTCTTTATTTGGGACATGTTCATATTAGATATAGTTCTAAATTTCTAAGTTGTGCTATTAATACCAACTCAAACTTTCACCAGCTTTCCATGTTATTTTGATAAATTCAGTATAATGTCCATTTGTTCATGCTCCTTATTGGTCTAACAACAGTCATGTGAAGTGTTCATCTTTAGCCACTTTTCCCTGAGTTATTGGTTTCCGTGAATGAAACACAGTGTCAAATATAACCACTACATCCAGCTGATGTTGCTTTATTTTGGTTAACAGATAGTGACTTTACTGTTCTTGTTTTTTTTTTTCTTTTTAAAAATAATTTGAAACACTGATTTTAGAGGTTTTAACATTACTATATACAGTTGAACATAATAGCCATAACAAAAACAGCACAGTTCTCAGCAAGAGTTCAAAAGTCCAAAGCATAAGCCACTGTTGGGAGCATTCCCAGATCCATGTGTACACAGTGTGAGCTATGACAGCCCCCAGGTCATAGAGGCAATGTCAGGTCCCAGGCGGGATAGAAAGGACTCCCATGTCTTTGTGAAGACATTGTCCTTTGATTGTATTGTGTGTAAGGTTGTCCAGGGCCACATGTTCAATTACAATCCTGTGCCAGGTGGTTATCTTCATTTTTAGTAGTGCTATGCTTCCTAGCCACAAAATGGGGAGATTAGTCCATCTTTCCAGATCTAGTCTGATATGTTTAAAGATGTGAATGAAATTAAGTTATTACTCTTTTTAACAGAACCAAGTAAAAGGAGGCAAGAAGGTGGTTCAAACAGACGAGTGGAGAAAAGGAAATGTGGAAGAGAGGTTGGAGTATGCTCTCATCAAGGTAAGATATTTGATAGTTAAAGATCAATTGGAAGTGGTGAACAGGGCCTTAATCTGGGTGCCAGAGACACTCAGGTCTTTATTTGGGACATGTTCATATTAGATATATTTCTAAATTTCTAAGTTGTGCTATTAATACCAACTCAAACTTTCACCAGCTTTCCATGTTATTTTGATAAATTCAGTATAATGTCCATTTGTTCATGCTCCTTATTGGTCTAACAACAGTCATGTGACGTGTTCACCTTTAGCCACTTTTCCTTGAGTTGTTGGTTTCCGTGAATGAAACGAGATATATATCAATAGTACTTTATTTAAAAATGCAAACATATAGTAATGTAATGCAAATATGTTCCCTTACCTGGGTGGGGGGCTAGAGCCATTCCCAGCTGTCATTGGGCGAGTGGTGGGGTCCACCCTGGACAGGTCGCCAGTCTATTACGGGGCTGACATGTAGACAAACAATCACACACACTCACACTCACTCCTACAGGCAATTTAAGTTCCAGTCAACCTACGCTGCATGTCTTTGGACTGTGGGAGGAGGCTGGAGTACCCGGAGAGAACCCACACAGGCACAGGGAGAACATGCAAACTCTTCACAGAAAGGCCCAGGCTTGAACCTGGAACCTTTTTCTGTGGAGTGACAGCACTGCTCTGTTAGCTTAAACATTCAAATTTCAAAGCAATACAGCTGTAATGTTATTTCTTTCTCTCATATTCAAGATCAGCAACATAGTAGAAATTATCATCAATCTTGCAGCAAGTACTAAGTGAAGGGTGTGAATGCTTACAATACTTATGTAAATGGGACTTTTCATCTTTTTTTAAAATAAATTAAGGAAACACTCCAAAAACCTGTTTTTATCTTATCATTGTGAAGTATTTAATATAGTGTGATATATAATTTAAAAAAAACATAATTAGCCCCATTGATGATTCATCTGTTTGCATTTCTTCTCTTCTCTGCTGTAATGTTCCAACCTGTGCTGCTGCTGTGCAGGGAATAGACAAGTGTATAGTGGATGATGTGGAGGAGTGTCGTGCTCTGGTTGACCGCTACACTCGACCACTTCACATCATCGAGGGCCCCCTGATGAATGGCATGAAGGTGGTGGGAGATCTCTTTGGAGCTGGGAAGATGTTCCTGCCACAGGTAGGATGGTGCTGGTTACATGTATTTCAGTCCCTCTGTGGTCCTCAGGTGCTTGCATTGGGTTTTGCACATTTTCCATCAACATGGCCTGAACTGTGATGAACGCCGTTTTTGTTCATGTGAAGAGCAGATGAGGCAAGAATTAACAAGAGAAACATAGGAGCCACTCTGGGGTGTCACTCATGTACAATTATAATCCAAACACAGATTTTACTGGAGTCCCAAAATTGTAAAAATAGTCCATCTGTCAAATCTGCAAGACATGAAATAGTTTCCACCTCAACTCTAAGTACAACCTGAATAGTAAACACTACCAACAACAAACATATACACGACTACTAGAACGTATCCCTCTGCCACAGCCCAGCATAGAACTACAGTACTAACCAGGAAAAAGGGGGACACAAAAGGGAAATTTGTCTCAAATGGCCTGTAACTTTGAAAAATACTGACTCAAATTAGCTTAGTTAGGACAGCTGAAGCCGAATTTGAACCTCAGGGGGACTTTGGAATGAGTTTTTGCACAGAATGAGTTGTGTATTTTGACCTTCATTTTTTTTTTTTTACAATGCAGTCACATTCCAGGGGGAAGCATTCAGGGTCAGTGTGGAGAGTAAGAGAAATGACAGTGACTAAGACGTATTCTCACATACTTAGGGACATGTCAGTATTGTTTAAACACCAACTTAAAAACTCCCAGACTTTTCCTTTAAGGGCATTCCCCCACCAGGAAAGTCCTTCCAAACAATAAGCATGTCAAACGGTTAACTAACTTATAAGAAACTAAATATCAGTCAGCAATCGCCTAGGACATAGAGTATGTGTCAAACTCAAGGCCCATGGGCCACATCCGGCCCAGCGTACAATTACATCCGGCCTGCGAAATCATTTTATAAATCTTTTTAATGGCCTGGTGATATAAAGCACCGATAACACACAAACTACAATCCCATAATGCAGTGCAACATCTGCCTTACTGAACGATAGGCTACCTGACATGAGATATTTTTATGGAAAGCAAAATATTTTAAGTTATTTTAAGTTTAAGTTTATTTATTTTGGAATAATATTGTATCCTGTTTGTTTCGATTCATATTTATGTTCAAAAAACGTTTAGTTTTAGTCTGTTCAATAAATGTTTATCCTGTTCGGCCCATGACCTAAAGTGCGCTTTGAGTTTTGGCCCCCTTTGCGATTGAGTTTGACATCCCTGTCCTAAAACAAATCATACATGACTTATTTTTAAGGTACCCCAAATTTTACCAAAAGCACACATATCTCAGTTCTGTTTGGATTAAATAAAACAATGCTCAGTATTTCATTTCAGCATTTTTGGGTGTATCCAGGTAATCAAGTCAGCTCGTGTTATGAAGAAGGCGGTGGGCTACCTGATTCCTTTCATGGAGAAGGAGAGACAGGAGATGATGGCATCAGCAGAGTCAACTGAGGAGATGGTCAGTTTCAACTGAATGTGAATACATTTATTGTATTATTTTAATGTAACTCATTTGGACCAAGATATTTCCACAAAGATTTAAGAATGCATCCTCGAAGGAGATTTTATATATATCAATCTTGACCCACACGCAGAACGGGGCCTAGACACAAACCCTGCTGCTGACCCAAAGCTTTCATTTTACAAGAGGGTGGAAACTACAACTGAACCGTGTGACCTCTGTGATTGTAAGCATCATCACTCACTATACTCACACTTATATGAGGATCTCCAGCACCTGAAAACTGAAGTCCTAGTGTTGTAGTCAAGACGAGAGTGTGTTGAAACTGAGACAAGACCAAGCCTTTAAGAGTTTGAGACCAAGTCAAGACTAAGACCGCACTCATTGCAGTTAAACTGAATCTGATAGTTTAATTTTAGTGGTTAACCAGTGTTTCAGTGACACTAATAACACTGTATAGGAGTGAAGTTATTTAATGTTTTCCAAAATTCCCAAAAATTAGTCGAGCTGTTGTTTTTTTGTGTTGCAGTATAACCAACAAGAACCCCTTGATACAGTATGTGAAGTGAGTGTGGTGACTCTACACTGTAAGAGGGTTATTGAATATTTTTCCAAATAAAAATTCCCCACAACTATGCAAAACATTAGCAGGCCTACAATCAAATTTAGTTCAGCAATCAGGGGCTTCTCCTGTTGATTATACTAAAACAGTTATTTAGGTTATTTAATATTTTTGTTGTAGGCTTTCTTTTTGGTGTTGAACTTTGTAGATGGTCCCTGCACACTGGTCTCACAGCCGACTACACAGAGACCAGTGTTTCTTGTTCAGTGAGTGCGTATATGTGGGTAAATCTTGGAGGAAGGCTCATTTTGATGAAAATTGGGTTGTAGGTTGTTTTCTACATTACGGTTGGAAAGAGGCAACGTTTGTTTTGACAATGTTTCACTATGATTTATTGATCCAAGAAGTTGGCATCTGTGAATATCACTGCAGCTTCGCTCTAGTCCAAAAACGACAAGCAGAATGTTTGTTGTTTTTTACATTCAGAATAAGAATCAGAATAAGCCTTACTGGTCAGGTGTGTTGGACACACGAGGAATTTGACTCTGTTACAGTGGCTGTCAGTCTACATGTACAGTGTTCTTCATAAGGCAATGAGGAAACAAGAAGGAATGTGCATTTAGGAAAGAGATGAAAAAAGAAAATAGAAGTACTTATATACACACAGGTGGAATTTTCCAGGTAGTGCACTGTTGCTCTGTTATACAGTCACTGGTTCAGTGTTCATCAGTGTAATGCAATGGGGAATGAAACCGTACTTGTGTCTGATTGTTTTGGCGTACAGAGACCTGTAGTACCGTCCAGGCGGGAGGAATTTAAACAGTGTCCAGCCATGAGGTGTACAGGTCTTCCGTGGAGGGCAGGCTGTCATTGATGATTCTTTCTGCAGTCCTGACTGGCTTTTGGCATCTGTTCCTGTCCTGTTTGGTTGCTGAACCAAGCAGTGGTGGAAGTGAAGAGAACAAACTGAGTCCCCTATAGAACTGTATCAGTAGCTCCTGAGGGAGGTTGAACTTCCTGGGATGGCACAGGAAATACATGCTCTGCTTGCCTTGTTGGTGATGATGCTGATGTTAGATGTCTGCTCTTATGTCCTGGGAAATTATGGACGCCAGAAACTTGAGGGTCTTTACTGCTGATACAGTGCTGCTGAGTATGTTCTTTCCACAGTTTTGACTGTGTTCAGCTCCAGGTTGGTGCGAGTGCACCACAGGGCCAGCTATTCAACTTCCTGACTGTGTGCAGACTCGTCACCATCTCGGATGAGACAGATGACTGTTCTGTTATCTGAAAACTTCAGGAGTTGTGGAGGGGTCACCTGACGCACAGTCATTGGTTTAGATGGAGACGAGCGGTGGGAAGAGCACACATCCCTGGGGGGTGCCTGCACTGACTAACCAGGTGCTGGATGTGATTTTCCCCAGCCTCACCTGCTGCTTCCTGTATGTGAGGCAGCTGGTGTGGGCATAGTGGACACAGTGAGCTGGGTCAGTTTGGAGTGGAGGATGTCCGGGATGAAAACACTGAGCTGAAGCTCACAAAAAGGTCCCATGCATACATCCCTGGGGAGTTGAGGTGTTTTAGGATGTAAATCAGTGACATATTGACTGCATTTTCCACTGACCTGTTTGCCTGGTAGGCAAACTGCAGGGGGTCCAGCAGGGGGTCTGTGATGCCTCTCAAAGCACTTCATGACCACCAATGTCAAGGTAACAGGGCATCATTCTGATGTGTCCTTTTTATGTTTGTCCAGCTTAAGACACTTGGTGTGCCTTGGTGTTGATATGATAGGGAAAACCTTGGTAATGATGTTAACAAATAAAACCGACAGTACACAGGCACTTTCCCCACAGTTGTGGTCTTGACTGGTCTTGACATAAAATCCTGAGTCCGCTTTGTCCGAGGCTAAGACAAGATTGAGTAGAACTGTGGTTGATTCCTGAACTCTGTTACTACACTCCCCTTGCCCTGATGTTTCGATCTGCACCAGCTTGAGCCGACTCACTGTATTGAATCTAATGAAGACTATCCAGCTCTGCCAACATGTAGTAAAGACCTTGACAAATCCTCAAAGTCACTGTCTGAGCCAGCTCACCAGGGTGCTGACTGGGTTTGAGCAGGTACCAGGCCTAAAATCCCTTTGTGGAGCTCAATGCCTCAGTCAGGCTGCCAGTCTGAACCACTGTGGACCAAAGTGGGGTGATGCCAGAGTAGACCGTCTGGTGCTGCAGTCTTACAACCTCAACTGGACCTCTCACAACGCCTACCCAATTCTGGCAGGTGATGGTGATCCACTGAGGACCTGGCTATCGCTATAGATTATTTCACAGTTTAGGTGTCATTACAGCAAATTCACAGTCACATTTTTAGAAAATCGAGACTATTTAGGAACTTTGAAAAGAGCTTTTTCTCCTGATCTAAATGTATCCCAGAGAGCATCATTAAAACAAACTGTGACATGCATAAATAGTAAACAGCCAATTCTATGGTCCTCCACTTCCCCTAATGTTTTCTCTTTGTTCCATAGGATCCCTATCAGGGCACCATAGTTCTGGCTACAGTGAAGGGAGATGTCCATGATATCGGCAAGAACATTGTAGGTGTGGTGCTGGGTTGCAACAATTTCAGGTAAAACTGGTTGGCTACTATGTTTGAATGGTTTTCCATATGAAATGTTTTACTCTGCATTAGATTATTTTTCCACCACACAGTTCCCAGTATATTCACAGTCAGTCAGCAAACAGTGTAAAAATACTCAAGTAAGTCCTGCATTAAAAACAGTACTAAAAAGTACAAAAGTATTACTATCAAAGCCTACTTAAAGTACCAAAAGTACTCATTATGCAGAATGGCACATTTAACATTAGTGCGTATCATATTATTAGATTGTAATTACTGATGCATTATTGTGTAGATCACATTTCATGTTGCAGCTGGTAAAGTGGGAGCTAGTTTTAATTTGACTTATTGCTGGGTAGCTTGTGATCTCATTCTGACTGAGCTATATTCCACTTGCTGAAGACCAAACTAATGGCAGAGACTCCACAACAAGCAAGAGCAGATTGTGACTGCAGTAAATGTCTGGGAGAGAATCCCTAATGAAAAAAGAACAACATTTTAAAAACAGAATTTCCATGTCAGAAATGTCCTGTTATGACAGAAACATTGTTCTCTGTGTTAGCTGCCGTGCATTTTTTAAATAACTCTTGACAAGACAACAGTCTCTTCGTTAAAAGAGCCAACTAAACATATAGACTCACCTTCAGACAACTAAAACAAATGAAGCTCTTCAACTACTGTATATCTTTTCAAACAGATGATTCCTAAAGTCATAGAGTAATGAAACTTAAAATGAAATTATTGTTATCATCATCACCCTCATCAACAATACCAAAATAACAAAAACAACACATGCTCTTCAATAATACTTTCATATCTGCCTAGTTCATTCAGCAGTAGGGTACCAGTCTTAACAGATCACATAAGGATCTTAAAAACCACAAGAAACCTCAAGGCCCACAACACATACAAGAACATGATCTTATTGAATAAATGAAAAAAGCAAAATGCCTGCGTTTCCTATTAAATCTGGAATGTTGTCTTTCAGAGTGATTGACCTTGGTGTGATGGTTCCCTGTGAGCAGATCCTCAGAGAGGCCATCACACGGAAAGCAGGTATAGTCTACAGTTTAGATTGCATGTTGTCTGTGTAAGATGTTGACATGACAGATTTTTAAGAATTGAAATGAGCAAATCCAGAAAATTAGTTGTCATAAAAATAACATTTTAGAAAATTATTCTGCAGCATTGTGGCATGTTGCCTTTTATTTCAAAATATCTATATTTCAAAATATTGCCTTTGATTTTGTGTGGTTTTTATTTCAAAATGTATGTGTAATTCAAAATGTTGCCTTTCCCCCAAAATGTCACTTTTTATTTCACAGTGTTGTATTTTATTTGTTGTATTTGTCTCTTGTATTTTATGCCACCTTTCATGCTAGTGTTCTCAACAGTGCCCATTCCCTTCACTTTTCATTCAAGATAGCCAGCTCCACTTCCCCTCCCAGCATTAGCCAGTTAGCAGCTGTTAACTAGAGCAACATCAATGTCAGTGATTTTAAATCAACTATCTAGCTGCTGTTGTGAATCAAACAGTACACAGACAGAAATGAACATCTCTTTTTATTTATTTAGCTTAAAGCTACAGTAAGCAACCTTTTTCAAATATTTTTGTTGTAGAAATATGCTCCAAAACTTGTCTTAATGTGGAGAAGTGCTGTCGAAGTCTCCTGTGACCCAGACTCATTGAACAGCACTTGGCAGCAGTGCAGTGGTATTACTATAGCCGCTACTAGGTTTTGAGCAGGATTGAGCTCTATTAGTTATTTCTGCTTTATCAGAAAGTTGTGTTGCATTAGATTGGAATTGATCATTAAGGGCCTGTAATGTGAACAAAGTCAATGTTAACAGCAGCTGCTAATGTCAATTTGCTAATTCAAAGATGCCTTGGCACTGATTCTAAAAATGTTCCTCAAAGAAAGATAAAACTCTGAAGGGGAAAAAAGACAGTCTGTGTCTCTCCCCTACCTTAATCTGACCTTTCATCTTCATAGATTTTTAATATTTTTCATAACAGCCTGGGCATCTATCTGCCAGTTAGCCTTATTGTCAATCAGTTTAACCTTTAGCTAGCAATCTATCCATGCAGACAAGTCCTTATCACTGGGGGCTGGAGCCATTCCCACCCGACACTGGGCGGGAGTCGGTGTACACCTTAGCTGGGTCGCTGGTCTGTCACAGGGCTGGTACATAGAAACAGACAGCCACTCACATGCACACCTATGAGCAATTAGATTTATCAGTCAACCTAATTTTCATATCTTTGGACTGTGGGAGGAAGTCAGAGTAACCAGAAAAAAACCCATGCAGGCACTGGGAGAACTTGCATACATAGAAAGGCCCTGGTTGGCTGCAAGGTTTGAACCTAGAACCTCTTGCTGAGATGATGGTGCAAAACCACTGTTCTACCATGCCATGTCTCCCTGCAATCCAGTTTATGTCCAATGAAAATTATTCAAACTATAGTTGCAGTATTAATTTTTAGTTTCTTATAATAGTAGCAGCAATAAGATAATGTGTACTATGTCTGGTCCTGCAGATATCATTGGTTTGTCTGGTCTCATCACCCCTTCTTTGGATGAGATGATTTATGTGGCCAAAGAGATGGAGAGACTGGGCATGACAACACCACTGCTGATTGGAGGTGCAACCACATCAAAGTAAAAACAACACTCATAAATCAAGGATCATGCAGAAATAAAGCTCAGTGAGCAACAAACATTTGTAAATGATAGCAGGTGGAGTGGCAGGGTGATATGATCCACCAGTGAGTTTGGTCCTTATTGTGAAATTTCAAAAGAAGCAGCTTATGATGATGAGCACCACAGTAAACATAGCTGTCTATATCCTCCATAGGGCCATAGAATATTCTAAATTGTGATTTAAATGTGCTTTGGATTACAGTTATTTTATTTTCTAACACAGAGATGTATTCATTCTGTATAATTAGGCACTGTAAGTAGTACTTCTACTGCCCTTCACAAAGGAGGTTGATATCTTGCAGCACTCTGAATGTTTCCTTTGACAGGACGCACACAGCAGTGAAGATCGCCCCTCGCTATAGTTGCCCTGTTATCCATGTTTTGGATGCCTCCAGGAGTGTGGTGGTGGTAAGAACACTACTTTAGCTCAGTGGGACTTTTCAAGGGTCTAAAGTCTTACTGGCATCTTTTTACTCAGCCCTCTGGGCCAAAGAGAAGTCCCTAGCAGACTATTGCCTATATTGTATATTAGAGAGATGTTTAAGTTGCTGTGGTTTGATTGGTCTGTTCTACAGTATGTTTTATTTCCTGCTTGTTTTCCTGTCTGTCAGTGTTCCCAGCTGCTGGATGAGACAGTGAGGGAGGAGTACTTTGAGGAGTTGAAAGAAGAGTATGAGGAGATCAGGCAGGAGCACTATGACTCTCTGAAGGTAAGAATGACTGTTCTACCAGCCCAATAGAGTACCGGTAGCCACTAGAAGAGACTTTACCCCCTGGTTTAGAAGTGTTTTCTTGGATTCACTGACACACATAGGTAACCATACGTTATCAGTATCTTGAACCCTTAACACATCTAAATACAGGCTGTTAGATTCTGCAGCCTGAAGACAAATTAAAACACATTGAGCCCCAGAGCACAACTGCAAGAGAGAAGAATATCTTCTCTAATGTCCATACTGCATTTTCAGACTCATTTATGCCTGTTTTTCCAAAGTGGACTTTTTGCATAAGACATGAAAAAGAAATCTGGTATTCCATCTGGAGTATTGTATTGTTTCCATTAAGGCAGTGTAGGATTCATGCTTCAGAAACAATAAAAATGTGCTACTGGAAGACCCAGCTTGATAAAGATGATAGGATTTTTTTGATGGACAGATAAGATGAACAGGATAAGTCTGGTATTATTGAGTTCTTTTCAGGTCCTATGGTAATGTGTTAGGACATTGTTCAATACCTTCACACTTCCTACCTCTTATCTGTGGCTGTCAGGTTCAAGACCCTTGGTTTCTTTTGAAGATACAAAGGCTTAAAACACCTCACAAACATATAGTTCTATTGATGAAAAAAAGATTTGATTTCCTCAAACACATAGCCACTGTAGTTTCTATCAAACAGGAGGACATAGTGCATTTACAGCAGAATATGTTCAGTCGCAGATTAATCACATTTGGTGTTCTTGTGGGTATTTAACAGTAGAATGTTGTCTCTGGAGTTGAGTCATTAATAAAATACTACATGTGTTTATGGTAATGAGGGAACATGTCACCCACTGACATGGCACAGAGGAATAAAATATAAAAGGCTTTGGATACATGCACAGTACTTGCAAGCAGAAGACAATGGGCGTTGGTCTCGATCTGAACATGGATTTGTTGTCAATAAGAAAAATAAAGAACATCACCAGGCATACACTTTAACGCCAAGAACCTATTTTGATATACAGTATGTATGGCTTTCTTTAGACCTTAATGGAACTACATTACATATTACATTCTGCTCTTGATGTACAATGGCAAGAGGAATTATGTGAATTCTTTTGAATGTCCTGGTTTTCTTCAATAACTGGTCACAAAATGTGACCTCATCTTCACAGAAGTCACATGTATAGACAAAGATAATGTGTTTTAACTATTAACCCACCAGCTGTTATTGTTTTCTTTTTTTAGCACAGCCATTAAGCATTTACAGTTGTAGGAAATTACCTCCTTTATGAGTTGGGGAATATTCATCAAATATTTATCACACAACTAATTTAGCCATTCTTTGCCAATATGGCTGAACAGAGTCAGGCATAATGCTTATGCAAAATTCCTCTTGTTGGCCTGCCAAGAGGAGTTTCTTAAACATGATTATTTTTTGGAGTGAAATAACTTTAAATAAGTGAGGTAGGAAAGAATCAGCTACATTAAGTGACTGGCTCTGTGAGTAAAAGCAAGCAAGGAAAACAGGTGTTTATTACTATGGTAAATAATGTGATTACACATTGGCTGTGGCTCGGGGGTAGAGTTGGTCAACCTGTCTATTCTGACAGTTATTCTCTGAGCTTATGTCTGAATAAGAACTTGAGCTTTCCTTATTAATAGCTAGTTTCTTTTAGTCATTGGCTGAGTTACTATTATTGTAATCTGTTTGGTCAATAAATGCATCAACTATGTAACTACACTATAAATGCAAACCTTTTGGCTGATACACGGTGATGGAAATTTAAATAGACACACGTGGAATACACAGTTAATAGTTTATTTTACTTTAAACACCATGACAGATTTAAAAAGTCATTTTAAAACATCTTTAAATTGGTATTCAGCAGGTTTCTTTATCACTTTTTATGCATGACTATATGTTAATATTTAATCCGTCAGCCTCTCTTTTAAGCCACAGCAGTTGAAAGGTGGCATTGTGCTTTAAGATAAATAATACAACTTGCAACTTCTACCTAATACCAACATCTGCAGAGCTGTAGTGTTACTGTAGATTACACTGGCTTAGTATTAGGCTGCTGCTCCTAATTAACTGACCACAGCATGTACATTTATTCATTCATTCCTATCTACAACACCAAGTCATAATAGACTCAGTAATAATTAATAGCCATAAAATCTAGGCTATAAAATATAGGCTTCCATTGAAATAAGTCACTATTCAGTCTCCTTACTGCAGATGTTGACTCACTACTGGCAGGTACAGCTGTACATGGAGGACTGTGGGTGCAGCTTTCTCAGACACAAAGTCCACCAGAACTTGCTCAGCTTTAAGTTATTACAATTTTGCTTCTACAGTTAGCATGCATACAGTCAACTGTTGCTTTAGCATGGTCATGACAGTTAGCAATTAGCCAACTAGCTCACTGTGATAAACACACACCAGTGGATGGGAGACCATGGACAGAACTGAAATGATTACTTTTCTGCAAGCTTGTTTGTTTGACAAGTGTTTTGATAAATTGCTCTTATTGGCTTTTCACTCACTGAGATGTTAGGTTATAGTTATATACACAGAAACAGATCAAATCTTTGGCTTCCTCTCATTCTCCATTTGCCTCTGTTGTTTTCAGGATCGTCGGTATCTGTCTCTTTCCAAGGCCAGAGAGAAGGGTTTACATGTAGACTGGCTATCTTTGCCCAAGCCAGGTGAGTTGGCACAAATGAATGACAAGCCATGAAATTCACATTCCATCTAAGGTGTGCTCAATCTGTTATGCTAATCTTTGGTGGATTCATCTTTATAACCTTAAAGTGTGATAGAAATGCAAACCGAATTTTGGAATACAATGCACAAGATAATATCCTGTAATATTTGAACACACATAGCAACTTGGATTCAAAGTATTGAAACAAACAGAATATTTATGTGATACTAGGGCTGACTGATTAATTGTTTAAAAAAAATCATGATATAATAGAAAATGTTTTTCAAATTGCTTGGAATGCTTGGAGCTGTAGAACATTAACAGGACTTAACAAGAGCCTTCATCAAGAACTCAATGGGAATGTGGAAGTCAGGAGGCAGTGGAGTGGTGTGGGTGGTCATCGTTTGAAAAATGATATTTTTGCCTGGATTTCAGCGGTGGATCGACACTTGTCCATCTTTTTAGCCTGTCTTCCTGTGCTTGCTGGTGTGTGGAACTGTGGCATGGAGCACATAATTTTACAAAATGAGGCCTTCAACAACGGTCCCTACAGTCAAACACTGTGGAGGTCACTGATGTTTTGCTTTGCTGCTTCAGGAACTGAATGTCTTGACTATGTGTGGCATTATGAAATCTGAAGACTACCAACGAATTCTTTGGCACAATGTAGGGCCCAGTATCAGAAAGTTGTGTCTCCTTCAGAGGTCTTACAGCAGGACAACAGATTTCAAAAAACTCCCAGAAATGGTTCCAGACAATTTGCTGGAGAGTTATGAAGTGGCCAGATCTAAATCCCATAGAGCACCTGTGGAGAGATCTAAGAACAGCAGCTGGGAGAAGGAACCCTTCAAATCTGAGAGATCTGGAGCAGCTGGCAAAAGAAGAGTGGTCCACGGTTGCTTTTGTCTTTTTCTTTCATTTTCTTTAAGCCAAAAAAAAAATCAAATTGATTATTTTCCCAAATCATTCAGCCCTTTGTAATACTATCATGTAAAAAAAAAAAAAAATCATTTCACTTAAAGCAAAGCCAAGTGTGTCCTGTGTTATCTTTATGTTTCAGTGCGTCCTCAGTTTCTGGGCATACGTGTGTTTGAGCGGTATGACCTGAAGAGTCTGGTGGAATTCATTGACTGGAAGCCTTTCTTTGATGTGTGGCAGCTGCGAGGAAAATACCCTAACAGAGGATATCCAAAGATCTTCTGTGACAGTACTATTGGTATGACCTCAGACGCTGTCAGGGATCAATGCTCTAGTTAAACGTCTTACTGTGTAATTTATTGTGACAAAATATTCAAGATATCATAGTGAAAAATACAATTATTCATTTGACTCACATTTGAAAATTTATATTATTATTTAGAAAAAAAGATAAAATCCATCCTGGATTAACATTATAAAATAGATCTTACTATAGCATGTTTCAGGAAGTAAACTACGATTAATTGTTTGAAAAATATAATCATTTTTAATATGGAATACAAATATAAGTTATAAAAACTTGTATATATTGTGAATGCACAATATATTTGTGCAATATATATTAGCACAATTGTGAATGGGTTTTTTTGGAGATGCAAGTAACCAGTGTACCATTGAACAACTTGGGGTGCATGGTGCAGTGAAATCATCTTGAAAGCTGAAATATGTATTCCATTACAAGAATGAAAAATACTGGAAATAGTTAGTCTGCAAAGTGACTTCCATTATTATTGAAAACTTTAAAAACAAAGTAAAACTATGTCTGATCTTGGTGATATTTGTTTGTGCAGGTTTGGAGGCCCGACGAGTTTTCGATGATGCCCAGCGACTGCTCAATCAGATGATTGACAGCTGCAGTCTGAGTGGGCGGGGCCTGGTGGGATTTTGGCATGCCCAGAGTGATGGTGATGACATCAATGTGTACAAGGATGATGTCACAGTGCACAGTGACACCAAACCCATTGCTATATTCTATGGCTTACGGCAGCAGGTGAGCAAATTAACTTGGGTCATTGCTGTAGAAAACTATAAAGGAGTTTGACAAGTTATTGTCATAAAATTAGTCAAAACTTTCTGTAATAGGGTATGAAAAATATTTTAACATATTCTGTGGAGTATTCTCATAATTACATGCTGATGCCATTCAGATTATGGTCAATAACAACGGAATTGGTGGTCTTTAAAAATGATTTTGTCTGACGCATAATAATTTGAGAATTGCTGACTGCTGACATTTATAACAACAATCACAGTAAGTTCTCAGCCAACTTCCAGCTGTTGGGGGGAGTTGCATGCTCATACCATAGACCAGTGATTCTGAAATGGGGTACGCTATACAAACTGTTAGATTTCTTTGACTCAGTTCATCATCATCATCATCATTTGGTTATCATTATATGGCCGTTGGAGATATAATAGCATACAATGATATTTATTTCTTTAAAGCTGAGTCAATATCACAGTTATATTGTAGTAGAGCTGCTGACTGTCATCACTGGCCTTTGTAGTAACATTGTCTTACACACAGGTGTCTTTAGTTTGGTTAATTTATAACAACATGTTATGTATTTATTTGCACTTACCCCCTCGTCAACTGTTCTTAACTCGATTGGTGACGGCACAACCATGCAGAGTTTCTCTCATAGCATCTTGACTCAGATTAGTGGGACAACAGAAACTGCATTTGAGTGAGTTTTTGCACAGAACGAGAGATGTATGTTGTGGCCTTCCTATTTGCAGCGTAGTGATGTTCCAGGTGGAAACGTTGAGGGTCTGAGCGGAGAGTAGAAGTGACGACTAAGGCATATTTTCATGTACAAAGGGATACATCAATATTGCTCTAATGTCAACTTTAAAAATCCCAAAGTATTTCTATAATAAATACATGTGATTAAGAAACTGTTTCCACAGTCAGTGTATCCCTAATATTATGTTTGATTTCCTGGCTTACTACAGACAACATGACCGAGACACATCTTTTTGTTTAAACAGCGTGAATATGTTTGTGTGTGTGTGTGTGTGTTGCAGGTGGAGAAGGACAGCTCTAGTTCAGAGCCCTACTTGTGCCTTTCTGACTTTATTGCCCCTGTAGACAGCGGTGTGGCAGACTACATTGGTCTGTTTGCTGTGGGTGTGTTTGGAGCCGAGGAGCTGAGTCAGCAGTTCCAGGCTCAGGGAGATGACTATAGCAGCATCATGGTGAAAGCTTTGGCTGACCGCCTGGCTGAGGTGAGGTATCTATATCTTTCCAACACATCAGGTCTCCATCATTGCTGCTGTTTTGTATGGTCATTGAGTCATTGGCACTGAATGACATACTAACTGTTTGTACATGGTGTTTCTTTGGTTTCTACTGTATATCTTGTAGGCATTTGCTGAGGAACTCCATGCTCGTGTGCGTAAGGAGCTGTGGGGCTACAGCACCGAAGAAGCTCTGCAGGCCTCAGACCTCCACAGAGTTCGATACCAGGGCATCAGACCTGCAGCTGGCTACCCCAGCCAGCCTGACCACACTGAGAAGACCACCATGTGGTCCCTGGCTGGTATACAGGACAAGACTGGTGAGATCAACAAAAACCATGTCACTGTCATAATCGAACGCTCCCAGAACCTGAGAAAGCAACAGGAGAAAACCAACTGTAACCTGGTTACTTAGTGCAGATGAATGGAATGAACACGAGGTCACAGTGACAGGACAGAATGGGCCGGATAGATGTACGGACAACCTAAAAACATAATGCCTTCAGCCATGGTTGTCACTGGCACAGAGGTATAAAAAGGCACAGATAACACATAATCCAAGGATGTAATGGAGTACACCAATTTTTTGAGGACGCTTTAGATGGTTCTCTTGACTTCATGGTGTGTTTTCAGGGGTAAAACTTGGTTCAAGGGTTAAGGATAGAATTAGATTTAGGGTAAGGGTTGTGTGTAGGCATTTAGTTGTGATGTTTAAGGAATTTTAGGCTAACAACTTGGTTTAAGATTAGGGTGTGTTTAGTGTTAAGGTTAGGCTAGAAGTGGATCTGGTTAATGTAAGTCTCCAAGAAATGAATGTAAGTCAGTGTAAAGTCCCCACAAGGAATGAATACAAACATGTTTGTGTGTGTGCATGCATATTGACATTTTGCATTTTTGTGTTTGTGTTTTGTCATATGGGCATCTGTGCACTTTGCAGTATCCATAGGTAATACATGGCATGTTTATGTTTGGTCTGTTTGCGTAGGTATTTGTCTGACAGAGTCCCTGGCCATGATGCCCGCTGCCTCAGTGTCTGGACTTTACTTCTCCAATCCTCAGGCCTCATACTTCGCTGTGGGAAAGATCACCAAGGAGCAGGTTCAACTAACCATCCACATCTCAAACTTCCATTAAAAACTAGAGACAATACAGGTTTTTGTGTCAGTCCCTCAGACTTCTCTGGACTTACCATTTTCCAGTGTTACAACTGGACTCACTTTTCTGTTGGCATTGGGTTAACAGAATTACAAGTACATTAGTACCACAATCCCCAAATACTGGCCCATCATGTTACTGTATGTGCAGTATTGCAGGTTAACAGATCTGTCCTCTTTTATTTGGATCATTTTTGGCAGGACTTGCTTATTTGGCAAACTATTGCAACAAAAAAATCATGTTATTATTGTGTCACTACTTTATGGTTATATGGTTTTTAATAAATAATAATATAGTAAAATATAGCAGTTAATATTTTTATGACAATATTTTTGAGCCCTAACTTTTGGCTGTTTGGCAGATGATTCACTCCCTCATCTGTTAACTCCATGTTAACTCAAAAGTCGTCTGCAAAACGGACCTGTCTGACCTGTCTAGATGAATTTTCAAGTGCCTTATGAGGCTGAATCCACTCCAATAAGTTTGGGTTCTGCTTGTTCAAGAGCTGTTTGATAAGTTGCTTATACAGCCTCCATTGCCAGCTGGTTGTACTATGGAGTGATCCTTCATGTTCTCTGCTCTTCCTCTGCTCAGCTGTGTGTGTGCATGTGTGTGTGTGTGTGAGAGAGGAGTACGGTGACAAAATTCACTGGAAAATCAAAGTAGGATGGTCTGCATCAACCTGTGAGGTTATGCCAGGTGATGGTTAAGAGAAGCACGGGGTGTACCACCCGTGAGGTAGAGTGTGAATGAAGAGAGCAAGTGATGTTATATAATCATGTTATATAAAGCAGAGAATCGAAGAGATATAAAACGTTAGGCATTTGTGGCTACGCCTTGCACAGACACACAGCAGTAGTCCAGCATCCTGCAGCAGTGTGAGAGCACAGATGCTTGAGAGATCGGACAGTGAAATATTATGGTCCGATGTATTGCAAAAAAAAATATGATTTGAATATAATGGTTGCTAGCAACCTGAAATATGTGTGTTTGAAAATCCACTCATGCATTTAGGTTTAAATAAACTGCAAAACATTATATAATTAATGTTATTAATAATGCCAGTCTTTGCAAAAGGTCAGATTAAGACACTTGATATACTGTATATGCACAACTACACACAGATCAAACCAAACGGAGGAAAGATCTAAACTGGGATTTGACTTTAAGTTGTACAAAGATTGTAGGGATACAAAACTGTTCTCTGTTCTTGTCTTCAGGTGGAGGACTACGCCAGAAGGAAAGAAATGAGTGTGGAGGAGGCGGAGAGATGGCTGGCTCCCATACTGGGTTATGACAGTGAAGCTTAGAGAAAGAGCTCCAGCACTCATCTGGAGTACACAGGAGTTGGAGTAGGACACAGGCAAGGTTTACAGTCCAACCACTCCAGTGTCGCTCACCCTGGGTCTTAAAGTGGACTACACTGACATCTAGTAGTACAGTATATTTTCTTTTCTATAAACATACACTACCTTGTCATTTCAATGTTTTCCTGTACATTTCATGATGGGATACTATCAGGCTTACACGTGGAGTAAAATCACATTACTGTCTCATATAGATGTCTGCAGTAGTATTAAAATGACAAAATGTCAGTTATTTAGCTTAATGTTGACATGATTATTATTTTCACCAGTGAGGATGTCGTCCACGAGATCAGTGCCAATATGACTCCTGACTTCTGGGGATACTTCAGTTAACTGATTTTAACAACATGTTTAAATTTATTGGTTTCTTTAACTAAAAGGATGACACATTTCTTACACCTATGTTTATCTTAAAAGAATAGTTCAGAATTTTGGAATACATGATGATTTGCTTTCTTTCTGAGTGAGATGAGCAGATGTCATGTCTGTGCATTAAGGACAGAGCTGATGTCAGGACATGTTTAGCCAAGCTTAGCATATACTGTAGACTGGAAGTAGCTTTAGCCTAGTTCTGTCCAAAGTTCAAAAGATGGATTTCTTAAATTTGTACAGAGACAGACATGTTGATAAACCACAGTTTATCTGTCTGCCCAGAACGTCAGTGTACCATCTGTGCTGCAGGACAAACAGTCTATGCCTGTTTTGGTCTGTGTTCATACACAGTGGTAGTAAACTTGAGAGCCTTTCTGTGATGACAAGAGTCCAGGAACAGTCACACCCAGCAGTGCTTCAAGTGTGTAAGAACCCTTTATTCAAACAAAATGTGTAAATGAAGACTAAGTACACTGTAACCATTCAGGAAACCGTCCTAGACACATGCTTTCCACATGTTGTTGATTTCAAATAAGATTTAGAATTATATGCAGAAGTGAAAATGTAGGACTTTGCATACAAATTGTAATTGTTTCTATTAATCTTTTTAAAATTATTTTATTGTTCTTGTGTAGGTTTTAAAAATCATTTGTCTTTAGGCTGGTGTGTACTGTCCTAATAGTTATTGTATTTTACCACCGATTGTGATTAATTACTTAAGACACATTTATAAATAATATATAAAGTGATACATTTTTCAGTTAACATTAATTTAAAAACTGCGTTGATGTTCTATTGGTTAAAAAGTTGATATTAAAAAGATTTTTCAAAAGCAAAAGTTCCAAGTCATGATGAGAAGCAAAATTATGTAAAAACAGATTTTCCCCTCCCTTCTTTTCTGCCAATCTACTGACCGTTGTATTTCTACAATATTCTGCTTTACATTGGTGCAGCTGGTGTGACACCCTAAAAATTAATTGGATCAAACCACAGAGCAGTAGCACAGGCTTTTAATGGCTGGCCATCATTTTCAGAGCCTTGTCTGTTTCCTTCCTGTTACATGTCTGCAGAGATTATTTATGTTTGAGGGGCATGGACCGACATCCCCGAATGACAGGGATGACAGTCATCGTCCCCTTTGTGTGCGGGAGCAAATACAACATTTGCGTGTAACATAACTTTAAGATCCCTACCTTTCAGTCAGTCACATGCTAGCATATCTTCTTGTAGATGTAGCCTCAGGGAGGGCACATCGGAATGATCTAACTTCCCCCCATGCACACTGGTTTTCCAAATATTGGTAGGGACATGTCTGTATTGGTAAGGACGTTCCTACTGTCCATATGCAAAACTACGCCCTTGGTAGGATCCAGTGTTCATGCTTGACCAATACTCAGGATATACACTGATCAGGCATAACATTATGACCACCTGTACATCTGTATGTACTGGACTACATTATATTCAGAGGTGTCTGTATATTTTTGTCCTGCCTATTGACAAACATGAGAGGGTCAGAATATTAGGAACACCTCTGAATATAATGTAGTCCAGTACAACAACACCTTTAACTATGACCTCATTTATACATTTATGACAATCTCACCAAAAACAGACATTTTAAGCTTCATAAACAAATGTTAAAGCAGAAGTGTTGCACTGAAGTGCATACAGATGAACAGGTGGTCATAATGTTATGCCTGATCGGTGTATGTGACTTTGCCTGTGGTACATCAGCATGTTTTGATTCACCACCACACAGCAGTTCTAAAGTCTTGTCTCCAGCCCTTCAAGTTAATATGTACAAATATTATATCTTATTAACATTGTCATTTTTGTCTGTGCCATGGACTTGTTACTCTGTCGTGGGATAAATACCTTATTTTGATTTGTTCTGTCTGCATGCAGAGTTATTCATATTGACTGGGTGAGTCATGTGTATGCTGCTGTTAAAAGCATGACAACATGCATATCGTCATAGGCACACTGTTTAAACCGTGGCTCGGTACCACTGCTTCCATCGACCTGTAAACTCCACGGCACCGAGCAGCGCCAGCAGGAGAGAGGGGCAAACCGCTCGCGCGCGCACTCCCTCGCTCACACCTGTGCAGCTCCTCCTTCGCTGAGCGCGCGCCATCCAATGACAGACGAGTTCCACAGTGCGTCGCCTTTTACCGTCTCATACATACGCACACCCAGTCTGAAGTCCACACGCAGTTACAGCAGTGGCAGTAGGATTTCCGTGTGAAAGCTCACCATGGCTGAGGGAGGAGAGGGCGAGGATGAAATCCAGTTCCTGCGGACAGTGAGTGTTTTTGACTTTCCTCTGAAGCCAGATATGGGCGCTGTGTGGGGCGATACCATACTGCGTCTTCGTGCCCGGCTCTGTGTGTGTGTGTGTGTGTGTGTGTGTGTGTGTGTGTGTGTGGGCAGGGAGTTTACCGCATTAAGAATGACAGCTCCTCTAGAAACAAATCAGTGAGTCCGCATCATGCTGACAGAGGACTGGAAGAATGGAATAGGTGTGAAAACAACAAAACACAGGATAGATGGGGGAAGGTGTTTGCTGGAATCGGGTTGCTGTCATATAAAAAGGAGATGAGCAGCGTGCAGACTGTGTAGTCGCTGGTGTTGGGTAGATGCGGGGCGCAGTGCGGTGCAGCCTGACAGAATGAAGCCTGCTGCATCTGCTTCGCTTCACTTCAATTAGTGTCTACACGAGCAATACAGCGGTACCCTGTGTTTGTGTGTGGTGCTGTGGGGGAGTTAGTCATATTATTGAAATCAATCAATTTGTTCGAACTGGACGTAGGATGGGCTGCTGCTGCTTTACAAAAAGTCACACGTGAATAATCACGCGAATTCACTGCGCCCGAGTAGGTTACTGATTTAGGGAAGTGGGTGGTTACATAAGTCAGCACAAAATATATTCATGTAGACCTGTAAACAAATAAGCAATGCATATCAGTTAATATGTGATTTACACTAAAAGGTTTTTTTTCTGCTGGGGCTGAGATGATTCCACTGTTTGCAGTATATTTCCCTGGGTTTGGACTAACTATCTTGCATGTTAAGATGCTGATATTGGTGATTCTAGAAAATCCTTGCAATAAAATGACACCATTTGCTTTTTTTTTCAAAATTTGGGTGATGGTGCCTTAACATATTCCGGCAAATTACAGTCGGAAGCTGCATTAATCCATAGTTTAATGTAATGATTCATGAGTAAAAGGAGTTCCTGGTAGTGATGGACCTTCCCAGAATTACCACCTGACTCTGCAGTTCCCCACAGCTCCATGAAAGGTGTTAACTTCTAATTTCTTTCAGCTCACTTGCTGTCTCAGAGGAATGCTTTACATTTTTGCATTAGGTCCGCTTTGTTCAGCAGTGGTGCTGGGCTCATCTTGAACACAGCCGTTTTGTTCCCATTGGTTTCACCATATAAACAGTAAGTCTGTGTGCAGAAAAGCATTTAGCACCCAAATTTCATAAAAAAAATCACCTTCTTTGAGTTGGGAAACTATATACTTTGTGAAACACAGTTAAATACAAATTCTTTACTCATACATTCTTACAAACTCAACATTATTATTCTAAAGCATGAGGGTTGACACCTTTGATTTAATGATGAAAAAATATGGACACTAATAACGTCTAACGGCACAATGTCTCAAAAGGTGTATAAAGTCTGAGCATGTAAGCTAATGAAATGGTTATTACTCAAAACGGATGCTCATTAATATTTCGGCATCGCTGCCAGCCAGTCAACCTGGAGTGCCTCATAGCTTTTAATGTATTTGCTCTCATAGAACCTCTGGACATTGACAGAAGGTTTAAATGATCAGTTTGCCTCTACAGTAAACTCAAGCAATCCCTGCTTCACCTGATGGATATATGCAGCAGTGCAATTGGCCTTTGCACACCATGCACTAATATGGTGGCAGTGCTATCACTGCGTCGTCGCAGGGGATACCAGCCACACTCACAGCAAGGACCAGGTGGGACTCACAATGGATCATGCAAGGTTCTGTTACAGACCATTCAGCAGTTTAAGATAACTGCATCTCTATCCTACAGAGGTGGGAGCAAGTCATAAGCAAGTCTCGAGTCATAACCTTCAAGTTTCAAACAAGTCCCAAGTGTATTTGTATGCTATAAACTATTAAATAAAAAGGCATGCCTTTCATGGCTATCAGAAACGTTTCTCAGTAAAATGCGTAATCAATTTGAAGCCACATCTAACAGCTTAAATTTAATCCAGGGCTCCAGAGTAACATTTCATTCTGGTGGCACCAGTGTAACCAAGTTTCTCAGATGGTGGCACCAGTGCCATATTTAATGCCACACCACCTCTGTTTTACCACGTAATGCAAAAGAATCTGTATTTTTCACAAATAATTTTAAACAACTTTACCAACAAATATGCATATCCTGTATTTATAATGAAATCCAGAAAGAGGGAAACTTACAGAACACAACAAATGGGAAAATGGCCACCTTTGCACCTCTTCTTATGTAGTAACTGAACTGTAGTGCTTTATAGCCTTGCAGTCAACATGATGATAATGATGACATTTATATTTCAGTTGAAGTATAACCAATGAATGCATGCTTTGCCGTTTGTGATTTAGCCTATTTGTAACCAATTTTTCTTCTTCTGAAGAGTTGCTTTGGCGATGTCTGTATTGGATTTCATACACGATTCAGCTCTCTCACTCACCTGGCTAGTGCCAAGTCATTTTTGGGCTCAAGTTACTAGTAGCCTACTACTTAAAGGACTGATGGTGGGTTTCGGCCACTACTAACTTTAAAGTGGGACTCCACTAGACATGAGCGGTGCATATGCGTAACCTAAGTGTTTGATCCATTCAGTGCACACTGGCTTCAGCCTACATGCAGCAGTCTGCAACAGCTGACTGTCAGCAGGAGGACAGCACAGTCTTCACCGGGCTGAATGACAGCAGAAATATACTGGACTAAAATAGTTTTCATGTAGCTTCACCAGCAAGGAATCAGCAGTGTTTATATGTATGGATTTATTAATTTCTCCCTGTCAGTCTCATGCTCAATTTTACCCTCACTTGTGACCAAGACCCCAAGATACAGTAATTAAATTCCTTCACTTTGTGCATCAACTCACTACCAACCCAGAGAGAGCGATCCACCATTTTCACCCAGAGTACTATGGCCTCAGACTTGGAGGTGCTAACCAGTATGCCCGCCAATTCACACTCGGTTGCAAACTGCCTCGGCGTGTGCTGGAGGTCACGGTCTGATGAAGCCAGCAAAACCACATCATTGGCAAAAATCAGAGATGCCTTTCTGAGGTCCCCAAACCAGATGCTCTCCTCCCCGTGGCTGCATGTTGAGATCTTGTCCATGAAAATCACAGACAGGATTGGTGACAAGGGACAAACCTGACGGAGGCCAACACCAACTGGGAACGTGTTTGACTTTTTGCGAAGTACGCAGACACAACTCTCTGGTTATACAGGGATTAGATGGCTCATACCAGCAGCCCTGGTACCCCATTACTGAAGTAACTCCCTGGGGCATGTGAGAAATTCTTCCAGAGGTGTGATTTCAAGACCTCACGGACAGGGGCTTCAGCCAGGCATTCCCAGCTGGTCCTCACTACACGTTTGGGTTTATCAAAGTGTTTGTAAATGTGTCATTCAATTGTACAATTGTGGTACTGCAATATTTTACAATCCTGGTGGTAATTTGCAGCAGGTTTAGTAAATGGTGTTGATCTTATATGTGCTTGTGGGTTGTGTCTTTGATTTATTGTTTATTGTAATGTACAGCACTTTGGTCCACCTTGGTTATTTTAGTGCTTTATAAATAAAGTTGGTATGGTATGGTATGGTAAATAACCCCCTGTGTCTCAAATCTCACTTTTTAATTTTTGTCATGCAAATTTTATATTTTCCTTAGTTGCTCACTAATTTTCTTGTTTTTCAAACATTTTCCCTTGTAACAGTCAAGTCGGCATCCTAAAGGTACCTCAGAAGTGTTTCCCCTAGTTTAATTGGTCAGAGAGTGCAGACACTTCATAAATAACTGTTAAGTCCTTCTCTGATTCCTGATTCTCTCCAGTGCTGCTTTGCCCTGTTTTTAGGTGGCTTTGATTTGCTTATTTGTGCTGTGTAAAATGTAACGTTCCGATGACACTACTTTTATAATCCTTGTGTGTATCGGTCCTAATGCTTTGTTGCCTTTATGTAACTTTTTATTTTAAGACTAAGTGTTCTTTGTTACTACATACTTACGTACGCATGAACCGCGCGAAGTGGCAGCAAGTTACAGCAGCTGTGTCCTCGTGTTCTTTTCCGTGTTTTTATGAAGTTCTGTACTCATGTGTCTGTTATGGTGGTGTCTGTTCTTATGGTGTTATTTTGGTTGTTCTCTATTGCTGCTGTAACACAGAAATTTCCCCACTGTGGGATCAATAAAGTACCTACCTACCTACCTGAAGTAGGACTGTTTTTTAGGACTCTTTACAAGTGGCTTTCGAATAAATTTACAGTTTATTATACAGAAAGAGAATTGATATAAAGCATGTTATTAGAGCATATAATGAATGCATTATTTTCTGTTACCAGCGTCTTGTATATACAGTACATAATACATAAAGCCTTCACTTGACAAGTGGGGCTGATATCGACATTTCATTTTCAACAGCTACAAACACCACTGTTAGAAAAACTACAACACATCAGTATAATGTTGCCTTTGCGGCTCTGAGTGTCATAAAACACACACTCACACACATTCTTCCAGTAGGAGTGGGATTTCTCCTCACTGAAGCTGAGAATAGGACACTTCATAAATAACTTAAAGGTATAGTCAGCCATTATAGCAAAAGAATGTTTACATTTTGATCACTATGAACACAAATCTACAAGTTGTTTCAGTTAGGATTTCATGACCACATCACTCATAATTCATGAATATGCATTACCATGGCAATGATACAAGTGACTGGGGGAACAGTCGATGCCAAAGGAGACATCAGACTACTAGTAACTGGGGCACAACGTGGCTAACCAGCTCTTGTTCCTCTTCTTCCATCCTCCAGAGTTTTATTTTACTTTTTTGTACATCTTTTGGAGACCTGGACCAGATCCCCATATGTCTTGCAGTAATAGCTGCACATAATAGACGTGTGCCTATTGCACCTTATCAATCAACATCAGCTTAATATTAAGGATGGAAGTAATAGCATGTTGGGTCACAGTCATATTTTTAACATAGCAATGCATCTTAATATTTAAGTTACATGAACATGTTTCTAGACAGCTA